GGTCAAGGGGGCAGCAGCCGCCTTTCCACTGCACACAACAAACAACAAGCGAGAGACCGGAAGTCATTCATTTCCAATGGAGAGTCCGGGGGCTGTGTGGAGTTCCGATCATCTCTGTATGCGAAAAATTTAGATCTAATTTGAGCTGCGTATACGTTGAAGTATTTGAACTCCTGCGACTAAATCGTATGCGATCGGTCGACCGAATGTGATATATTCCAGTGTTGTCCAAGCAGGTCCATGTGCGCAGAATTCATTGTTTTTTTCTTTTTTTTTTGTATCAGTAAAAGACTATATTAAAATAAACAGTTCTATTCATATATAAGTAATAAACAATATACATTTTTATGTTGTCTCCACATTCCCTCTAAAAGTTTTAGTGGTCTATGAGTTTTTAGTATTCATTCATTTAACCATGGTGAACACACGGAGAATAAAGGCTCTTGCTTTTGCACTCCTTTATTTCGGACATGGCGAGAACAACTTCCCTTCCATGGTGCACGACAAAACTGAAAGTTCTGTGTGACTGCAACAAGTAGGCGTATGCTGACAGTTGTGTCCAAATGCTGTGTTTAGTGAAAAGGTGGCTGAGAACCCCAGACTTCCCTCTCCCCAGACACCTCCTCCAGCTCCTTCGGGGGAATCCGAGGCATTCCCAGACCAGCCAAGAGACATAGTCAATTCAGCGTGTCCTGGGTCTTCCCTGAGGCCTCCTCCCAATGGGACATGTCTGGAACACCTCCCTAGGTAGGCGTCCAGGAGGCATCCGAAACAGATGCCTGAGCAGCGGCTCTGCACTGAGCTCCTCCCGAGTGACAAAGCTCCCCACCCTATCTATACGTGTCTTCCGTATCTCATTTTGGATCAGAGATCTTGTCCTTTCGGATTTGCTGAAACGCAAAGCTCTAAATTTACCGGTCAATCTTCGTTCCTACAGAGGAACAAGATCTTGAATACAAGCGGATGAAATTTTTATTATCTATCATTTTAAATTTAAATAATATTTCTGTAATCTAAAGAAGCTGGTAAAATGTTGTTTGGGTCTAATTAATTCAGACAAAAAAAAAAAAAAAAACTGGCAAACTGCAGACAATTAGTCTTTAGCAAACTATGAAAGAGTGAAAACCTCAGCAGATGTTCTGACTCTGAATTGCTGTTGTCATTTTCCTCTTTTCTCTCAACTCCTCTCAACTATTTATTTTCAGATTTGGGTTTGCTTTTGTACCCCTCAGTTTGTAAAGCAATTTTTAGCGCTAAGAAAGGCGTTACAATGAATTATTATAATTATTATATCTTTTGAGCGTATTGCCTCATGCTTAAAAAGTCTCGGCCAAGGCCTAATGTGAGTGTTTATTTTCAGACTGTGTTATTAATGAGCTCTCTGACATCTTTATCTAGAGAAATTTGTACATCGAGACTGAACTTCCTGACAGAGCAAACCTCCTAGTGTAATGGTCTGTTATTCACTCTTAATCTACTGATTCAGACTGGCCAAGATTGCTGTCCATGTTTCCAGCATTCATTTCTAAGATAAGTCATGGTGATAGATTTGTTCATTTGCTCATGTGTTAAAGATATGCAAAAGTATTATATTATATTATATTATATTATATTATATTATATTATATTATATTATATTATATTATATTATATTATATTATATTATATTATATTATATTATATTATATTATATTAATTATTTAATGAAACAATTTCTAAGTCATAGCATGACAATATATATATATATATATATTTTTTTTTGCTGTTATTTGGCTGCATGACAATATATATATATAAAAAAAAAATATATATATATATATATATATATATATATATATATATATATATATATATATATATATATATATATATATATATATATATATATATATATATTTATTTTTTTTTTTATTTTTTATTTTTTTGCTGTTATTTTGGCTGCAAATAAATGTAAACATTATGTTGAGCTGGAAGGACAAGAATTTCAATTATCTTTTTTTTTGACAGTTTTTTACTGAAAAAATACACTATTGATCTAAAAGTTGATGTGAATAAGTTTTCATAGGATATTCAATAAGAAATTCATTATTTTATTCACCATGAACTTATTAATCAATGCAACATTAAGAAATACAGTATTACAATATTACAAAGAGTCCTGGAAAACGTTTATCATGATATAAAAAATAAAAAAATAAAAAAAAAAAACAGCACAAGTGTTTTCAGGATGAAAAACTAAATGTTTCTTGAACAATTAATTAAGTATATTGGTATATTAGAATTATTTCAGAAAAAGGATAGTGACACTGAGGACTGGATTAATGATGCTGAAAATGCAGCTTTGGCAGCACGGGAATAGATTTCATATATATATCGAAATAGATAGATTAAGGTTGTTTAAATATTTATTTATAAGCCAAAATTACTGGTTTTATTGTATATTTGATTAAACTATGCCTTTAAATTATTGTTTTATTTTTATTTTTTGCAAAAATTTTAATATACAGACATCACAGTAAACAGAGCTTTTATCAATATTATTTAATTACTCTAACTCTTAAGGCCATTTATATCGAAGTTGATCTTTAGCCACACCATATATTTGTGTTTCGTAACAACTAGTTTTTATGAGGTGGGTTGACCTGGAGGACCAGGACATACACACATACACTGTGGACAATTTAGCTTATATTATTTAATTACTTAATTTAATTATTTAATTAAATACTATTACAGCAACAAACACATATTTAATTTATGTACTTTCCCTAATTTCGTTTTCCTTTAATTATTAGAAAGTCAGAATACCATTGATGGTGAAGAATATTAATTTATATAAGTTTACAAGAGTTTGTCAGTGTGTTTGTTTGGTCCTCTACAAGCAAACAGAATTTTTCTGCCACTCTGCCATGTGTCACATGGTCCCAAAAGCCCCTTTGACCACTCGCATGACCGGTCAGCTCTAAAACAAAAGTGACTTTGTTCTGCAGGGAGTGAGAATGTCGTTTGTGTTCCAATTTGCAACTGGTGCCTTTCATTTCCTCAGGAAATGCAAGTTGTTTACTCATTGATACTGCATAAAGCACTTTCCCTGCCTACATATACAGTATAGTTGAAAATAGGACCATATCTTCACTTTTAAGTCAAGCCAGCCAGACATAAAATTCAGCCAGTGTTTGCTCTTCGTGCAGAATCTATGTAGGATCCCTGGGGGATTTACAAACTGCATTCTTACAGAACTACTTCACTGCCGTTAAAGTCATGAATCACGGACAAGTCCATATATGAATAAAATTCACACAAACACACAAGTCGTTTGTGATTGCCAGTTATCTAGAACAGTTTGATTAAAGTGCGGCTCAAGGACTTTGAGTACAGATAAACAAAAATAAAAAACAGCTGACAGATTTTACAAAAATGTTTTTGTTTTGTCCCCAAGTGTATACGAAAAAAAGAAAAAGAAAATGTAAATATATTAAAATAGCTAATAAATCATTTAGATTTTGTTTCCTATGCTACTGGGATGCAGCTGGAAGGGCATCCACTGCGTAAATCAAATGCTGGAATAGTTGCCGGTTCATTCCGCTGTGGCAATCACTGATCAATAAAGGACTAAGCTTAAGGAAAATAATTAATTAAAATTGTATGAATAAAGATTTAAATACGCTGACAAAAACATTTTAAACATTAATAATATCTAAAATGCCATGGTTGACGCAGTGGCGCAGTAGGTGGTGCTGTCATCTCACAGCAAGAAGGTCGCTGGTTCGAGCCTCAGCTGGGTTAGTTGGCGTTTCTGTGTGAAGTTTGCATGTTCTTCCTGTGTTCGCATGGGTTTCCTCCAATTTCCCTCACAAGTCCGAAGACATGCAGTACAGGTGAATTGGGTAGGCTAAATTTTCTGTAGTGTATAAATGTTTCCCAGAGATGGGTTGCAGCTGGAATGGCCTCCGCTACTTAAAACAGATGCTGGATAAGTTGGTGGTTCATTCCGTTGCGGCAACCCTAGAGTAATAAAGGGACTAAGCTGAAAAGAAAAGAAATGAATGAATGATAAAGTGGGTAGCACAGTCGTCTCAGCAAGAAGGTCACTGGTTCGAGCCTTGGCCGGGTCAGTTGCCATTTCTTTGTGGAGTTTGCATGTTTTCCCCGTGTTGGCGTGGGTTTCCTCTGGGTGTTCCGGTTTCTCCCACAAGTCCAAAGACATGCGGTACATGTGAATTGGGTAAACTAAAAATGTGCGTAGTGTATGTGTGTGAATGAGTGTTTATGGATGTTTCCCAGTGTTGGGTTGCGGCTGGAAGGGCATCCGCTGCGTAAAACATCTGCTGGATTAGTTGTCGGTCCATTCCTCTGTTGCGACCCCAGATTAATAAAGGGACTTAAGCCGAAAAAAAAATAAAAATAAAAGAATGAATTCAATAAAGTACATGTGTAAATAATCTATAAATAAAGTACTTTGTAGATACAATTAAATAATGTAGCCTAACTTAATATAAGCAACATTTTCCTAATGATATTTGTATATCATTCAGACTGTTCATTAACATTATAAATCATTAGACTTTTAAGTTATGTTACAGGCTATTTAGGATTGGGGTCCCTCAAACAAATACATTATAATCATAATTTATTACAATGAAATAAAATCTTTATAAAAAAATCGCAGTACCTGCTGTATGCAGGTAAAACCGTACATTCGTATAGTTTATAACACATGGTGGCGCTATTTCACGAGTTCCACACATACCACAACACTTATTAAAGCTACGAATTCATCTTGCCCGGAGTTACGAATACTGTAAGATATTTTAACATGTTTACTAGTTCACTCTTGCCCATTTAAGTCACACAGGGGACTGCCCGCTAATGAAAGTCTCGGAAGTGTCTCGTGACGTCATGGTGACGTTCCAGTCGGCTGGTTTATTTTCACTTCCTGTACAGTGGGACATCCCGCGGCTCAGTCGAGCTGGTCCACATCAGTCCTGCTGTCCTACTTTATACTTTTACTTCCATTTTTACGGGACGCACTGTAAACGGATGAGCTTTACTCCTGCGGCGCGTCTGTAATAATGTAACGAGCACTTCAGCTGGTCTGTCGCGGTTGCTTGTGTTATTATGGAGTGCGGAATCAGCGGCGATCAGATGTGCTGCTGATTCAGATCATCCACCCACAAACAGCGCGATCTCCATCTACTCTCACACACCACAGAGACTCAAAACATGGGCAAACACTTCGTCCGCTATTGGCTTTGGGCTCTGGTGGCTCTTTTCACCACCAAACGAGCGCCTGCTTTTAATCTTGACATCAGCAAACCCACAGTTTTCTCTGGACCTCCGGGAAGTTACTTTGGATTTTCGGTGGCTTTCTTCAACCCTGATAACAGCCAGTGAGTAGATGAAGCTGTACTTGTGTACTAAGTTAGTGAATTAACGGTCTGGTTTATTTAGCCTAAGTTGTTCGAATATTCTGAAAGAAAGTGATTCGACAAATTTAATAAGGTAAAAAAAAAAGGAAAAAGAAAAACTTTCTATTGTTAGATGAGTACATGGTTTTGTGTTTTTTTTATGTTTCAGCCATAGCATGTTTGTTTGTCATGTATGCTTGTGTTTGTATGTATTAATTTAGTTAAATGTTAAACCTTCCGTTGAAAATGAATATTTTTATCAATTTCTCAGTGAATATGGGCAATATATATTGGTGCATTTGAACAAAACAGATTTATTAAACGTATACATTTATTAAAATAATATTTAAGTTTACAGAAATCTTTATAAATGGAAAGATAATACATTTAAATTCATGCAAAGTATCGCAAATTACAAGCTACAAAATTTCAACATTTTATGTAATTTATTGTTTCTCTTGATTTTTTTTTTTGATTTTTTTAGTTTTAATAACTCTTTTCTAATAACTGATTTATTTTATCTTTGCCATGATGACAGTAAATAATATTTGACTAGATATTTTTCAAGACACTTCTATACAGCTTAAAGTGACATTTAAATGCTTAACTAGGTTAATTAGGTTAACTAGGCAGGATAGTGTAATTAGGCAAGTTGTTGTATTATGATAGTTTGTTCTGTAGACTATCGAAAAATATATATCTTAAGGGGTATATAATTTAAGGGCTAATAGTTTTGACCTTAAAAAATTAAAAACGGCTTTTATTCTAGTCGAAATAAAACAATTAAGACTTTCTCCAGAAGAAAAAAAAAATATTATCAGACATACTGTGAAAATTTTCTTGCTCTGTTAAACATTATTTGGAAATTTAAAAAAAAAGAAAAAAAGATTCAAATGGGAGCTAATAATTCTAAATTTAACTGTATATGAAGTCAGAATTATTAGCCTTTTTTGATTATTATTTTTCTAACCTGCCTAATTAATCCGGTTAATCTTGAAAAATATCTAGTAAATATTATTTACTGTCATCATGGCAAAGATCAAATAAATCCGTTATAAGAGTTGAGTTATTAAAACTATTATGTTTAAAAATGTGTTGAAAAAATCTCTTAGTTAAACAGAAATTGGGTAAAAATATAAACAGGTTGGCTAATAATTTAGGGGGGCTAATAATTCTGACTTCAACTGTAAATTTGTGTATTGTTTGTGTTTTCTAATTTAAAATACTTTTAAATTTACCATGCAAGCAATTACTGCTGATAAATACAAAATTGTTTTAATTAAGTGTAATGTTGTGTTGCCTATATAATTTGCAATCTAAAAATTATAAATAATATTAATATTATTCATAAAATGTATTCTGAAACCTTTAAAATATAACACAATTAAGAAAAATATAAAATAATTAACAGATCAGATTTTTTTCCTATTCCAGGTTTTATATGGGTCAGAGACAAAAGGGGTTTTCAAGCATCATAAAAGTATTATTCTTATTTATTTGTTTGTTTCCTACATTCATTAGAATGTGTTCTGCTCTTATTATGTTCTAGAAAAAACATTGTTGCTGCATTCGTGCAAAGATGCTAATTAATTGTAAATTTAAGCATTTATACTTTGCCGTTATCTTTCAAATGACTATTAGTTTTATTAATTTATAATAATTTAAAATCTAATAAAATGTATTTTGATCCTTTCTTTAGAATTTTAATAAGCACATATCAGAATTAGAATAAATAATTTTTCCATAAATATATCGGTTATGCTAAATGTCAATGGCACATCAGCACACCCATGTTATTTTACAAAATACAGCCACTTGACATTCGTTTAATATGCCTTTGGTGTATGTCACTTTTGTGAAAGTAATGATGGAGACATCAAAATGAAATGAGTCTTTGACCTGTATGGTTTTAGTATATGCATTAAAAACTCGTGTATTTCTTTGATTACAGATTAAACATATTGGTCGGTGCACCAAGGGCAAACACATCTGATCAAACCCCCTCTGCAGTCACAGAGAGGGGGGCTGTCTTCAGCTGTCCCTGGCAAAAAAGCGGCACATGCACACAGATTCAGTTTGACAGCACCGGTAAGATGCAGCCTTTTATTTTCAGACATCACAGTGTAATCCTTGCTCCAATCCGGCTGTTATTTAAAGCTTTTCCTGTATATTGATTCACGTTGCATGCTAGTGAGGTTTATTATAGGACCTTTTGAGTTGCCTGCAGCCTTTTAATGATTTATTGGGTCATGTATCAGCTTTGCTCTAAATATTTTCAATAGGTGGAGGGAAAATAACAGGAGAGGGAGACTGGAATGGTTTCAAGGCTCGTCCAGGATTATGCGATTGTTGTTGCGGAGTGTTTTGATTCAGATGCTTGGCAATGACCTGCGACAGACAAGGGGGGTTTCATTCATAAAGTTAATGCGCTGGCCTACTAACAAGATTGCTTAATCTACACAAACAGTCTTCAGACTTACAGGACTTTGTTCAGCCCTAAATTGCGAAGATGTAAATGTATGCGCTAGTGTTTTTGTGCCAGATCTCATTGGCATTCAGAAGTGGTTATAGTGGACTAGTCTGGCCGGATTTACCCTGCCAGCCAAGCTGGATTGCTTCAAGAGAATCTATCAGACAAACAAAAAGGTCTTCATTTGGATTATCTCAGTGTGTTTGGAGTTCTCACCAACAACTGTCCTTCCGCAATTAAAGGGGTAGTTCACCCAAAAATGATCATTTTGACATTGTTTACTTGCCCTCCACTTGATTTTCTCACCTCACCCACACAACAAAAATGTTTTAATGAGTAATTATTTAATAATTATTTGTGTTTATTTAGTTATATTTAACATCAGGCTAATTCCTATTTGATTTTTGATGAATTGACTTAGGGAAATGAACGCATTTATTAATGCACCTTTTACGTACCAAACCAAATGGCATAAAAAAAATAAATAAATAAATTACAATTTATGTTTAGTAAATAATTTTATTTTATTTATTTATCTGTATGTTTTTCTATCCATACAGATCAAATTAAATTAGACCCAAATGCCAAATTATCTTTTGCAAATATTATTTGTTTGTTTGTTTGTTTTAAAATGCCAAACCAATTAGAATTTGGTTAATGTTTGGGCATTTTATTTGCTTGTTTGTTTATCTGTAATAGGGTTGTCACGATAGCATTAATTCACGTTACGATACTATACCAGCTAAAGTATCATGATACCAAGTAGTATTGAGATACTGTAACTCAAATCTGTGAAATAAAGAAAGTTGTCAGAAATGCTTTATTTTTCTTATAATAGGCCAACTTGATTTGAATTTAGAATTCCCTTATTATTGAAAAAAAGTATTTACACATTGCTTCACCTAAAATGCATTAGTTCTTTTTGTTTATTTTGTAGATATCTGACCAACAAAAAAATCATTAAAATAAAGATACAAATTATACAGAATGAAATTCGTTACAAAAAAAAGCATTTTTCCAATAAAATTAGGATTAATAAAGTGGTCAAAAAAAGTGGTCAAAAGTGTTTTTTTTGTGTTATCAGTATCTTTTTATTTAAGTGATCGTTGTGGTTTGTGTAGCTACTAAATCATATTAACAGGAACAGAAATGAACTGATATAGATGTGCGTTCGAACTGAAGCGTCAGAAAATGTGCAATAGGCTAAAGGTGTGAATTCTACACAGTTTTGCAACCTTAAAAGGTATTCAAAAAAAGACTAATTAAATAAAATGGTCTATTGTTGCACAAACGTGTGAGCATTTTAGCGACTTTCCCACATGCAGCATTATGTATTGTAGATAGATCATTAATGACGATACTTCCGTTTACAAAGTACAGTGGCACCACCAGTATTTTAGAGCCATACTATCGAGATACTTCCACCGGTAAACTGTGCAACCATAATCTGTTATATTAAACCTATTTCATTAATGACAACATTTTAATGGCAAATTAACTTGGGTAAATCAATGAATCGGTATGCTTATTTATATTAAATACCAAACTAACTTGAAGATAAAAGTACTCAATTTACATACGTAATATCTTTTTATTTTCCACTGATTTCTTTTTGTTCCCCCTTGTATTTTTATTTTTATTTTTAATCTGCTCTTAATGCGGTAGTGATTTATAAAATATTTGTAACTTAACCATCACTGTGGCAGGAAAGAAGCTTAAACATTCCTTTGTTGAGTAACTCCCAAAGCATAACTGTGATCCTGACATGTTTTCACAGAGAAGGACGTGCCTTTACAGTAACGTTCTACATGCTGGATGACCTGCTTTATTATTGAGGAGCAAGCCGAGTGTAGATTAGACGATTAAACAGAAATGTCAGGGGCTTGAGGCAGATAACAGTATAGAACCACACTCACGCTGAACTAATACAGCATTCTTACACAACTGTGTTTCAAGTGGGCTCCTGTATACCGCCAACTCCCTTTTGTGTTGCTTCACAGTAATTAAGAGTTTAATTCTAGTAAATCCTGGGTTTTGTTGACCAGCTTGCATGACTGAGTTGACCAGGAGCTACATTTGGAAATTCCCAACTCAGTAGCACAGACAGATGAACAGCTGGGTTTCCTGAGGCTGAGACTGTGGCTTAGATGAACCAAGGCCACTGGGAGGGAGTATCTTCTTGGCTGAGTGTGTATGTGGAGGATCAAGGCAATAGCAAGAAAACGCTCAAGAAAAAAAGTGTAGAGTTAGAATTGAACAAATCAACATTGCAAAATATTTTTGTTCCTTTTGAATCCTAAATCAAGCATAGAACTAAAGAATAAGTTCTTGATTCAAACTTTTTAATTAATGTTGCCAGATCTTGCCAGAAAATGCAGTAAAACAATAACATGCCCATTATAAACCTAAATAATTCCAAATACTTTATTTTGGGATTATTTTTTAAAGTATCAACCTACTGCTGTAAACCTACACTGTAAAAACAATCGATAATTTTGAATCCGTCACCCCAGCTGCCGGAAATAAACCGTAAAATTGCAGATTGTTTTTACAGTTTAGTGCTATAAAAGGATAAGTGAACTTGACAACACTGCAATAGCATGTTTTGTACATCCTTCCTGATATTAAAAGTATGTAACACATGTCGTCTGTGTTTTTAGTTCAAATTACAGAACATAGTAGTAGTAATTTGATGCTTAAATATTTAATTGGTCTTCAATTTCGGCAGTGAATTTTCCATGTACACATTAAACAGTATGTTAGATGATTTACTTCAGTCATCAGGCTTGTGTGTACTAGTTAAATGAAACTAAAATCGTAACACAAAATGGTCACACTAAGTCAACTAAGTGTGCATTTATTTGCAAAGTTTCCTATAGTGAGTTAAATGTCTGTTAAAGGAGCAGCGTCAACAGATATGAATCAGACTGACTACTTATACTCAAATGGACCATCAAAATAAAGTGTTACCCACAAAAATAATTTAAATACAAAAAAAAAAAAAGTTATTTAGCCAAGGAAGTGCTTATGGAATACCTTTATTTTAAATTAAAACTTAAAAAAAAAAAATAATAATAAAAAATCATTAAGACATCATTAATCATACATGATCATTAATCATGTAGACAATATACAATTAAATTAATTAATATAATTTTATAATCAAAATGAAAACACAGTCTAAAAACAAATTCAAACTCCAGAATCATTAGTGATCAGCTCTGGTTCTTGAGAGGTGCAGTCTTGCTTAGTTTAGCTCCAGACAAGCCATAACAAGCTAGTCAAGGTCTGAGTGGGTAGGAAGATACAAGCTGGCGAGTTTTTAACAAGGTTGGATCAAAACCATGTGGAGCTGTGGCTTTTCAGGACCTGAATTTCTCACTATTATCTCAGTTAACAAAAAGATTAAACGTGTATATTTAAAATGTTTCCATAAATAAATTCACACACATTTCGCTCAAAATTAGCACAGAAAAATGTCAGAATTGCAGTGTAGACTTTGGGACTGAAGTATTATTATTTTCACAGAATTCTGCTTGCTTATACATATGCATATTTTTATTACAGCTTAAAATGACATGTGGTTGAGGAAAACATATACAGGTTTATTCAGAACATTGTTAAGTGTTTCCAAACATATTTTAGTTCCCCTCTATGCAACACTTTATTTAAAGAACACTCCACTTTTTTTAGCAAATGAGCTCATTTTGCAAGACCCCTAGAGTCAGGCAGTTAAGTTTTGACATTTTTAATCCATAAGACGATCTTCTGATCTGGCAGAAATATAGTTAGGAAATATTATGGCCCATTTCCACTGAGTGGTACAGTGTGGTACGGGTCACCTATTTCAGGCTTGTGTTTCCACTGCTAAAAGGGTACCAATGGTGCTCTTTTGGTGGGAGTGGTATGACAAAAAATTTCAGTCAACGTCATTTTCACTCGAGAAAATGTCTACAGTACAGCTGTACGGGTCGTTCACATTTCATATGAGAAGCACTGCTCACAAAACAGTTGCTTCATACACATAAATACTTCTGTATAAATGTTTATTACTAACCTTTCTATGAACAGGATTTGAATATACCTGCAGATCAATGACAGTGCGAAATAGCCTACTGTAACGTCTGCAATTATAAAAAATAAATAAATAAATGCAACATACATGAACACATACAGACTCTTACAGTCTCCGATATATTACCAATTACAGAAAAACTACACACAGCATACATTTAGTCCTTATTTAGGTTTAAAAACAACACAAAATTTAGCCCACAGTGAGTGCAAACCTCTCATCTGTGTCTTTAATCTTCAGCAGCACGTGTAACCTCTTGTTAGAAAGTAGTTCTGTCATTCCGAGTTCATAATAGTCCAAAAGGTGACAATAATAGTTAAAAATGGCAGTTTGTTCATCTATTATGTTGCATTGCTGGGGACTATTTTCAGGCTCTGGCTAACATCATTGCGCCTGCTGCAACCGTGGTACGGCAACAAAGTTCCTTTATTATTACATCGGATTGAAACTCCTACTAGCCTTATCAGCCTAGAAAATAGAAACTTCCTTTTCCAGTGGTCTTGGTACACGATGTGGCAGCAGAAGTGTCAAGCTTTAGATAGAAAATTGTCAACTTTTATTTATTAAATTGTTTTTTGGTCGAGATGCTAATGGTCTCATACGATTCAATGATTTAAAGGGCACATAGTTTACCACTTTTTTATGATTTAATATTCATTTTATGGTTATTCTGAGTGTGCCAGTTTAGGTTCAGTTCAACACACAGTTCAGATGTTTTTATTATAATGTGTTAAAAAGTGTCATGTTGGGGGCGTTTACACAGTTTACTGTTTTAGGGGCGTGTTGCTTCACAGTTTCGGCTTCCCATCCAACGTAACAAGGGGGCGGAGCCAAGAGCTCCCACGCTTTGTGTTTGCAACAGACAGGCTGACAGACAGAGAGAGAAGCTAAGCTAAGCTAAGCTAGGATGAGCATTCAGCCATACATGTTCGACCCAGACACAGACCAAGCAGAGAGTACAAAATCATTTGTGTCTTTGTATGGTCACGGTGTACAAGTGCTGAGCTTGTACAACGAGACTAATAATCACACACACTGAATTAACTTTGACTGAGGCACCGAATGCGCCACGACACGGCACACCAGACACTCAGTGACGCGGCAGAAACATGAAGTGAACAGAAACACTGAAAATGGTGGATGTGCAACAAGAAACTGAGGATATGATCGTGACACGAGGCTGTCAATCAATATTGGTGGGTGGGGGGCACTCTCCTACATAAAGTTGCGGTCGGTCTGAAAACCGCTCCAATTGGTCCACCATTTTTATGTTGTTAAATAATAAAAAAAAAAGAACTGTGTGTGTTTATATCACCCCAATATGACGGTCTATACACTATACCTGTTTGTCCAAACAACTTGAAAAGTAGATTTTTCACCATAGGTGCCCTTTAAACTGAACTTCTACTCTGAAAACTGGACCAAAAAAGTTTCAGTTTACTAGAACGTCTATATTAAGCTGCTTTGACACATTCTACAAAAGCGCTTTAGAAATAAAGATGAATTGAATTGAATAACAGTTGGGGTGTTGTAAAATGAGAGCCTATTTTCAAAAAACATGAAGTGTTCCTTTTAAATTGAAATTCAGTATTGTCATATTCACTTTGGGCCTATAACTATAACTTTTATTAATGTCTCTGCAAGGTTTCAAGTTCATTGTGCTTGTTAACAGCAGGAAAGATTATATGTTTGATTCTAGCTTACCATGAATAGATTCAGCTGTCAGTTTTCATGACCTTGGATTGAACTCTGCATGGTTGGTTCTTGTGATGTGCTGCAATCTCCCATCCTCTTCATATCAGCTCATCTTTTTGTTCTTTTTGATCAAACTCTGATGCTTGTGTCAAGTCAGAGCTTTTGAAATCTGCTTTAATTAGAGGCACACTCTTTGGATGTGGTTTTTAATGAGTGGAAGAGCAGTGTAGTACACTAGAAAGAATACAATGACAGGTTGATGAATCAGTATTTGCTGACAAACTTATATTTCTGTCTGCTTCAGTTCCCTGTTCTCACTTCCTCTTGTTTTTTCCCCGTCACAGATGACAGAAAGCATTCCAATGGACAGCAAATGGAGTTTAAGTCAAATCAATGGTTTGGTGCCACTGTGCGTTCCTCTGGGGACCAAATTCTGGTGAGTCTGCATGTATAGGGTGGAAAAAAAAGAAATGCAACCTGAATAAAAACATCTGCAATATTGACACTTCTTTATATTGGGGAAAGTATATATATTTTTATTAAGACATTTTCTATATATCCTAATAAAATCAAACATGGCTTTATATTTTCCAGTAAGTACACGCACATATATACTATACATACACTGTAAAAATACCCATTTTATAGTAGTATTTCTGTATGCCGTCTGCATTTTGTGATTTGCGAGTGTTTTCTGTTTTTGTAAAGTTATGAATTGCATTATGGGACCTTGATCTCTGCTCTATTTCAACTCTGCAGACTTTAATTGACATTTTAGTATTTGAAATACAATATTGTATAAGAAATTGTAATATAAATAGATACATCTGTAAAATAATAGTAAAAGGAACTGGGTGCTTATTACCTGGTTTTTGTAGCAAAATTCACCAATATACACAATATATCGCTTTGTACTATTAAAAATGTCAATAAAAGTCACTTTTTCAAATTAAAAGTTGTTGAAGGAAAGATCAAGATCCAATAATGGAATTCAAAGCATAAAAAAAGAAAAACAAGAATAACTGCTAATTTATGGATATTTTGTTTTAAAGTTCATATTTTAACTACCTACAGTTGAGTCAGAATTATTAGCTCGTTGTTGAATGAAAAAAAAAAAAAATCCTAAATGATGTTTAACAGCATGGAAATTTTCACAGTATGTCTGATAATATTTTTTCTTTTGGAGAAAGTCTTATTTGTTTCATTTTGGCTAGAATTTAAAAAAAAAAAAAAAAAAAAAAAAATATATATATATATATATATATATATATATATATATATATATATATATATATATATATATATATATATATATATATATATTTATTTATTTTATTTTAAATTTTTTTTTTAAAAGCCATTTTAAGGTCAATATTATTAATATTTTTTCTTTTGGAGAAAGTCTTATTTGTTTCATTTTGGCTAGAATAAAAAATAAATATATATATATATATATATATATATATATATATATATATATATATATATATATATATATATATATATATATATATATATATATATTTTTTTTTTTTTTAATTTTATTATTATTTTTTTTTTCAAAAGCCATTTTAAGGTCAATATTATTAGCCCGTTTAAGCTATATATATTTTTTCGATAGTCAACAGAACAAACCAGATATTAGAAATGAGTTAGTAAAAATATTATGTTTAGAAATGTGTTTAAAAAAAAAAAAAAAAAACATTCTTTCTGTTAAACAGAAATCGGGGGGGGGGAAAAAGCAGGGGGGCTAATAATTCTGACTTACACTGTATATATTGGTTTGCTTGCTTTTATGCAGCTGTTATAAGTTAATGGCTATAAATGTCTAAATTAATTACTTGCTGCTGTATAGTTTCTAGTTCTTTTCAGCTTTTTGTTTTTTTAATTTCTGTATGGAAAAAGTTCAAATTGGCAATAGTTAAATTGTGATTTGACATCGTTCAGCGAAGACAAAAAATTCTCTCCTCTACTATATTTCAATTAAAATGTATAAATGAATAAGTGATCATATTAGATTTGGGATGTCTTAAAGCCTTAAATTCACTGAAATATTGTGTTTTAGGTCTTTAATAATTTCAAACTGCTTAACATGTAACACTAGTCCATTCTCATTATATATATATATATATATATATATATATATATATATATATATATATATATATATATATATATATATATATATATATATATATATATATATATTTTTTTTTTTTTAACTCCATGGTGTAGTAGTTGTTTAACTAGTTCTTCAATTGTCAAAATATAATTTGCTGTATTGTTACTACAAATGAGACCAACATTGTGATATAGGTCTTAAATTTCATTCATAATTGACTAAAAAAGGTCTTAAGCCTTTAACTGCACCACCAAGAAAAATATTATTGAATTACATAGTTTTAACACATACTATAATTTCTAAATTATCCACCTGTACCTAAATGGGTTGTATGTCAGTTTATGGTGAAAATCTCAAAATTAATATATACCATAAAAAATCTGAGAATATAAGGTGTAAGGCCAAGTTATTCAAAAAAACGCAATCAAAATGAAATAATGTTTAATACTAATTCATCTTTAATTTTTGAAGTAAGCCATAAAATATTTCAAATTCTCATTTAACATGTTTTCTTTCCAAAATCAAGTGTTGTAGTGCAACAGGATTATGTTTGTTTGATTGTTTTTGTAAACCAGAAATGCTGTGTAATGTAAACCATTCTTTAAAAGCCTTTTACACTCATTATTTAAAACAGTTGAAATATGGCCAACCATTTGGTAGAGCAGGCAGTTAAAGGGTTAAAAAGTCTTAAATTTGATTTGGTGAAATCCACAGAAAAATTGCTGATAAAATATATGAGCAATGGGTATGAAATGATGCTTAACAAAAGCTGATTTACAGAAAGAACATGATTAAAATCCCCATACAGATCTGCACATTGTCTTTTTGTCTCTCTCTTTTTTAAGGCGTGTGCACCTCTCTACCAGTGGAGCACATATGGATTTTCAGAAAGAGAGCCTGTCGGGACATGTTACCTGAAGAAAGGCAATAACATTGTGGAATATTCACCCTGCCGCTCTAGTATGTACTTGATCACACCTCAGGCATGTCCTTATTGGGTCATGTCTAATAACCTTCCTCAGAAATGCCTTAAGTGAGATTTGTGGTATAACACGCGCATGTTTTAAAGGCATGTTCGAGCTTCTAAATTTTTCCTCAGTCGTTGTGGCAGTAAGCTGTCATATAGCTAAGACTCTTCCCCTTGTTTAAAATTTGCCTTAAAGTTTCCTACCTTTTTTAAAGTTGAGACTTCCTTAAAACTATTTCTATTTCGGTTGTAGATTTATGAATAACTCACTTTTTTTATTTCCTTCAGAGTCAAACTCACCTGAGGGGCAAGGATTCTGTCAAGCAGGCTTCAGTGCTGACTTTGTAAAGGTATTTTTTTTTAATCAAGGACAAACTTTTTTTTTGGATGTTTATTAATTTGTTTCTGTTATCATATTTTCTGGAAAATATGTCACACGGCACTATATGTTTTACAAAAAAAAAAAAAAAACTAAACAAAAAGCAGGTGTCACCATTTATAATTTATTTCAGAATAGTATAACATATTGTACCAGCAGTGATTTAAAAAAAAAAAAAAACTTTTATTTTTATATATATATATATATATATATATATATATATATATATATATATATATATATATATATATATATATATATATATATATATATATATATATATATATATTATTATTATTTTACATTTTAATTCCCTCTGCTTCATATACAAATACTTACGGATTTTAAAACAGAAAAAGAAATTAAAATTTAGGAAAGTAAAGAAAACAGAAATTGTAGTCGTGTTTAGGGCTGCACGGTATTGTAAAAATCTGATATTGTGATATTTTATTTTTCTGTAATAAATATTGCAGTATAAAAACAGGAGATAGTTTGAATAGCATTTGATGGCTTTCTTGGGGGTCCAACAGTATCCAGGCACAGAAATTAAATAATCGGTGTGCAGAAAAAGTATTTCTTACGTCATTTGTCTTGTCTCTAGTCCAAATATCAAAATGTTTTTTAGAGCAAATAAAAATATTGTTTTGTTTTCACCGTCAGAAGTAAGTCAAAATTAAGAGGTTTTCCTTAAAACAAGCTAAATTATCTGCCAGTGGGCTAAGTAATAAACAATCTTGTTTTTGCTTTGAAGTGTAGATATTTGGACTAGAAACAAGACTAAAATAATAAGAAAACATTTTTTTACAAATCAAATAAATTCTATATAAATACAGTGATTAAATACAATTCTGTAGCCCCTGATCAACTATAATTCAGACTCAACATTGCATATATTTGTGATGTGACTATTGCGGATGCGCACATTGTGATATCAATGCTAAAACGACATATTGTGCAGTCCTAGTGGTGTTTGTTGTAAATGGGTATTATTATAATGTATAAAAATATAAATTAATATATTTAAAATCCATAAAATGTATATTAATGCTTTCTTATAATTAATGACATTATATCAATCACTTTGGATTATAAGTTGCATACTTGGTCTGTACAATATTGGAAAAATCTGTTATTGCGATATTTTCTTTTTCGGCAGTATATATTGCGATGCGAATACAGTTTCACCAGATGGTTTGAATCGAATTAAAGTCTTTTTGGAGAGTCTAATTAGGGCTGTCACGATATGCATTTGTTTTTGTTGTTCGATATATTGCACCAAAATATATTGCGATAAATAATATTATTGTCATTTTTATCATGATGCAAGTACACTCTTCCAAAAACACATCGTATTTTATTCTCAAGAATATTTAATTATTTATTGCATTAATTTAAAACCCATGTCCTAAACAAATAAATAATAATAAATGTGAACAAAAAAGTGCAAGGTAAAAAGTAACAGAGGCTACGATATCTGCTAGCAGATCTGTTTTTAGCTGTCAGACACCCTCATGAAAATACACTAAAGTCATTTATAGTAAATGCTGTAGTATTTTTTTTGACCATACTGACAGACACCTCCAGTAGAGATAGAGATGTTGCTCAATCAGCTACAATGTTGCTAGAAATGGTTTTATGTGCAATCTATATTGCATTGACAAAAATGATTGAGGTCATGTCCGTGTGTTCTGTGATAAGTCAATATACTGAACTGATTATTGTGACAGGCCAAAGTCAAATAGTATTCAGGTACAGAAATTGAGTAATCACAATGCAAAAAAACAAAAAAAACAATGCTTAAGTATTTATTATTTTTTATGATTTATTTATACATACATTTTTAAATAAAGTTAAAAATATTTGGTTTTTACTTTCAGAAGTAATAGTTCAAAATTAAGTTACACATTGAACAAGTAAAACAATCTTGGTTAAGTAAAGAGCAATTTCAGCATTATGGACGTGACATTTGCAGCAAAAATTCAACACATAAATTCACAAAGAAAGTATATGTTAACATTATATTAAAACGTCTGTTTATATTTTCTAAAACAACTAGTGACGTAGTTGTGGGAGCAGAAAAAATATCGATCTGTAAACTTTTTTTTTTTACTGTTTTAAATAAGTAAAATAAACAAGCGTTATGGACGTGCCAAAAAAAGTCTGCGAGTTTACAGTATCCAACATACTCTGTAGAAATTCTGTGAGTTAAACTGCACAACAAGAAATAATGCCATTCAAAAGGATAAGAGTTGGCTCTCTATAGAACAAAAATAACAGATTTTATTTATTTTTTTATACATTTTTGCATTTAAGAGCTTTGTTATGACACTTGTGTGACTTTAGTAAATCAAAAGTAATTGTTTGAAAACATTTTTTTGTCAATAAGTTTTATTGATGACAGATTCATAATAATAAATAAAGACCCCACCCACATAACAAGCCAACTTGTTTACAAAAGCCTGTTTGAACAACAAAGTATGATGACGAAGAATATTAAAACATTACAGAAATGATGCATTATTCCATAAGGTTTTTGACAGGTAACAGATAAAAGGATTCCAAATTTTGTCAAGTTGTCTTTTCAGTTAGTATCTAATTCACTCAAAATGTAACAATAATTTCCCCAAGCCACAGTTTACATGTAGGGGATTTCTTTTTCCCCAAAACAGTAGCAGTAGCTTTGTAACAGTAGTTAAACAGTATGCGAGCAATCAAAGACAATAGAATACACAAGACACGTCACTCGTATCTTTTTGAATGGGGAAAGGTGGAACTCTCAATATAGTGAATAAAGCCCTGCCTAATAGTACTGGAGCCAATCATCGATCGCTATATGGTTAAAAAGAGCCCGCCTTCTAGTACATGAGCCAATCATCGATCGTCATAGACTGATGAAACCCTTGGGGGAGGGGCTCAGACTAAACGTGAGTTTCTGCAGATTTTGTGTGATTTGGGCGTTTAGAAATAAAACTAAAGAAACAGTGGTTGTTCAATTTTATTGGGGATTCCTAATATGATAATAATACTAATAATTCCTAATAATACTGCGTTTCAAAGATGGCCACCGAGTAAAATGACTTGCGAGATGAATTGGAGATATTTATGTTGTGTATTTTATAACAAATGCGTTTGTTCCGAGAATCCCAGAATTAAAAGCATTGGGTCTGGTCGTAGTTGCAACTTCAACATCTCGGAAAGCGCTTCAAAAATTCCATTACAATAATTCTGTTTCTTAGAACAAAAAATAAAACTGCAAGGTACTGCATCTGATGAATTACATTTGTCGCAAAGTGGTGAAATACATTTTTGAGTATTTTTACAGGACTGTAGTATACAAGACTACACAAACTTATAAAGGGTTTTGCTATTTTGGTTGAAAACTTTTTTATTCATGGCAGTGTTAAAGAGCCATGACACCCCCCACATTCGGTTAAAGTCTACTTCAGAATTTTTTCAAAAGATGCATGATTAATGGCCAGCAGGGGAGAAGGGGAGCAAACAACTGTTGTTGTCAGTTAGCTCACAAAATGAGACACAAACTTTATATTATGTTTATAGTTCACAAAGTTAAAATGCAAAGAAATAAACATTAATTTAATGCCCTGCTACATTTATAATTCGTAATTTCGTAAACACATAACCACAATTTATATAATTATAAAGATAAGTGTGTTCATGTAAACACTATAAATGAGGATTCTCCCTCAATCCCGGGTCTAAATTATAGATCTGAATGCAGACTCAGTGCAGCAGGTCTCCTGACCTGCCTATTTTACCCATTAGCCCTGCTGTTAATATAGAGGATTTAGGTAATGTCTGAATGTGAACGAACTCCTGATAAAAGTCAACGTCCGCCATTCTTTGATTCTTGCACTGCTCTCCCGACAAAAATGCTTGCAGCACACACACAGCTTTGCTGTATGATCGGCCCTGACAAGATTGCGGGGAAAAACATGCAACAAACCTCGTGGATCATGGAAACAAACACATACAAGCCTTCATGAACGGCTACTGCGTGCCGTGGGTCCGTGTCTCACAACTTGCTTAAAACTGGCAGGTCTGCCTTGCCTTCGGAAAGCACGTGCTCTCATGAATAATGAAGCAGCCGGCTCTTCTCATAGGATAAGAAAACTCCGTTATGAATAATAATGAGAAACCGACGCGTCATCATTGCACTTGTAGTACTGCGCTACGTCGCCGATTTTGATCCCGCCCCAAAAATCATTTTAAACCCGGAAGCTGAAATTAGCTGACAAAAGCTCAAAATTATCCAGGTTTCCCCACAATTAAAGCTGACAGGTGCTAACATTGTCTTAACTGATGCTCAACACACACACATCTGTTAATATAAAAAAATAAAAGTTCTCCAGGGTGTCCTGAACCTTTAACATTTAAATGGAATAGCTCTAAAATAATCTTGCTTTCATTTTAAAACTTAGATTTTTTAGACAAGAAACAAGACAAAAATTCTTAGATATAATTTAGACTCAACATGGCATATTCTGCGATGTGATTATAGCGAATGCGAACATTGCAATTTTGATACTAAACCTATGTTTGAGAAAACCGATTGCAACAAACCATTTAAGTTCAAAAACTAATCCTAATAAGTACTGTGAACTTAATCCATTTGAGTAAACAAAGCAATTTGAAAACAATAAATGAAGAAAACTCAAACCAACTAAGTACTGAAAAATCCAATAAGTTAAGGCCACTCAAACCTTTTGAGGAAACCGATTGATACAAACCATTAAAGTAAAAAAAAAATGCTGATGAGTACTGTGAACTTAATTCATTTCAATTTAAGTAATGAGTTATTTAATTAACTCATTACCTTCAACACTGACTTCAAAACTCTTTTCAAATGAGTTGAATTAACTTTCAGTCAATTTTGAGTTAACTACACTCACTTCCTTTGATAAAGCTGACTGTTGGGTTTTACAGTGTGTTGCATACTTTTTAAGAAGCTAAAAAAAGATGACAGAAAATACAGTCCTTTTCATATTACCCTCATCGCATTAGGATTGTTGCCTGTTTTTCATTACCTTCCTTTAAATATAAATCCAATTCACATTAAGTGCCACCATAAATGTGGTTCTATGATTTTAAACTCAACCACTTATCAGCCACTACTGTCCAAACTTGTACCAAAATATGTTTTTTATGTCTCCTCTAGAAGAATCGGGTTGTTATTGGAGGACCAGGAAGCTTTTATTGGCAAGGTAAACAGTTTTCATTTTATTATCCCTCCGTGAATTTGACACTGAACGGCATAATAGGGAAAAAAGAGAAACCAGCAATGTGCTCTGTCAGGAGTTTTTGTGACTCACAGAATGTCTGTTGTGTCTTGCTTACAGGGCAAGCGCAGAAATAGCTTAAACACAAAACAGGCCAGTGAATGTTTGCACAACATCAGCGGTACTTGTTTAAATTCTCAAATGTGTCCCGCCTGTCAGTAAATAATGCAGAATCATATGCTGTGTCTCGCAGTGGAGATGAGTCTGCGGTTTCATTCAAATTTGTTGCTCTGTGTGATGTTCAAATGCTTGTTTACTGAGTCGTTGTTATGATCTCATTGGGTGGGGTTACGTTAGGATTTATGCCCAGAAAAGGCATTTAATCTCAAACACATCATTAATTTCATGACCTTTTTTTAAACCATTTTTTTTTCTCATAAAATAGTTTTTTTCTGCTGAGTGTCTTTTTTTCCGAGCGGTATGATAATTATACACCCTACTGAGGGGAAAATGCTTTCAGAAATGTGAATGTAATGGTGTGATTTGATAGCAACTTTGTTTAGACGTTAAGTTAGCCTTCAATTTGGTGTTTTTACATTAGGAATTATTACAATTTTCATTTTTTTGCAATATGGAGATTGTTTTAAAAAAATTAACAAGACAGACATTATCAATATTGCATGGAATGAATTGCCTGAAGGAACTAATTTACTGAAAAAAAAAAGTGAAAGACCATTTGAGGAACATGTATTCAGCAATTGCATCAGCTTTTTCTGTTGCAAGGTTTTTGAAAAAAAAACGTGAAGGTTTTTGTTACGCATGTATGTGTTTGCTGTTTTCCAACAAAAAAAAGGTGCTATTTAAACAACTTTTATGCTTGTAAAATATACAGTTGAACCAGAAGTTTATATACACTCTAAAAAAAGAACACAAACATTTTTTAATGTCTGATTTTAAAACATACTAAACGTTTACTATTTTAGATCTGTTAGGATTACCTAAATATTTTACATTTGCCATGCCAGAATAATGAGAATTTTTATTTTTGAGAATTTTTTGTTAATTTCTAGACAGTCAAAAGTTTACATACATTTCCTTGGTATTTTTTTTTAGCTTTGCTTTTAGCTGTAGAACTTTGGTCAGATGTTTCGGGTATCCTTTCACAAGCTTCTCTCAATAGTTTGAAGGAATTTTGTCCCATTCCTAATGACAGAATTGGTGTAACTAAGTCAGATTTGTAGGCTGTCTGGCTTGCACAAGCTTTTTCAACTCTGCCCACAAAGTTTCTATAGGATTGAGTTCAGGGCTTTGTGATGGCCACTCCAAAACATTCACTCTGTTGTCTGTAAAGCACATTTTGACAATTTTGGCAGTATGCTTAGGGTCATGGTCTGTTTAGGAGACCCATTTGTGGCCAAGTTTTAATTTCCTGGCTGATGTCTTAAGATGTTGCTTCAGTATTTCTACATAATGTTCTCTCCTCATGATGCCGTTTATGCTATGAAGTGGACCAGTCCCTCCTGCAGCAAAACACCCCCACAACATGATGCTGCCGCCCCTATGCTTCACAGTTGGGTTGGTGTTCCTAGGCTTGTAAGCTTTTCCCTTTGTCCTCCAAATGTAACACTGGTCATTATGGCCAAACAGTTCAATCTTAGTTCCAACAGACCACAGGACATGTCTGCAAAAATATTATTTTTCCCACTGTAATTCAGCAAACTGTAATCTGGCTTTTTATTTATTTATTTATTTTTATTCTGGCTTGTTGATTTTCCCATGTTGTCACACAAGGAAGCAGTGGGTTTGATGTTTTTCTTAAATAATATTCTACAGTTGTGCCAAATTAACTCAAATGTTGTCAATTAGCCAATCAGAAACTTCCAAAACCTTGACACCATCATCTGAGCTTTTTCAGAGGCATAATAATCTTATTGTATGTTATATGTTATAACAATTTCACTGAAAATATCTCTCTCATTATTCTGCTATTAAGCATAACAGAAACAAATTTAATAATCCTAACCTTCCTTAAAGAGAAAAGTTTAGTCACATTAACATCATTGACTCTTTTTTTTTCTTTTCTTTTTTTTTAATGGTTATGTGCTTTTTTTATACAGTGTATGTACACTTCTGGTTTTAACTGTACACTTGGTAACATTTTGAAGTACATTTTTAAATGACATTTTTTAAATGAAAGTCTACAAGGATTAGAGACCATAAAAAGATAACACAATTGATTAAATAGATTACTTTAAATAGTATGGAATATGTTTTAATTTGTCTAAATATTGCCAGTGTTCTGCCACTGCAATAATGCTTTTCATTTGAAAACAAAGTCTTCATTTGAAACAAAGTCTTCGCTTTAAATTTAGTTTGTCATGGAATTCAAAGAATCAGTGCTGCTTTCACACTTTTGATTACTTACTATAACTTACTATAACCACATCAGCCTAAATGGCATTTTTTGCTTGATAGATAGATAGATAGATAGATAGATAGATAGATAGATAGATAGATAGATAGATAGATAGATAGATAGATAGATAGATAGATAGATAGATAGATAGATAGATAGATAGATAGATGTATTGTTTAATGTAATCGATCAGTGCAGAAAGATAAACACAGTCAATAATACAGTTTGTAAATATTATTTATTAATAATAATATTAATATATGCATTATATTATATATTATTCTATCTGTAAAATAAAAGAAGACAATGGGAGCTCAGGTTTATGTATGACAAACTTGACAGAATTTTGGTTAAAACTAGTCTCATTATGAAGTTTGAAATTGTAAATAAGCTAAAAACACCCCCCCAAAAAATGCAAAGTATGGGAATTTTTATTTACAGCATTAAAAGTGGCAAATTGCTATATACATGCACTGTTAAATATTAATCATATTATTACTTAACTTGGTCACCATATCCTTGTTATTTTAGCTTGTATAAAAAGAGTGTTGATTATTACATTTATTTTGTTAATTGGGTAACACTTTGGCTTAAGCCACAATTCACTTATCAAATCATTAACTAACACTACTAGCTTAATAAACTACTAATTAGCTGTTTATTAATAGTAAAGTAGGAGTTGGGTTTGGCTTTTGGGTAGGTTCAGGGATACAAAATGAGATCATGCTTTTTAATTACTAACGAAAAGTTAGTATCTTAATAATGTGCTGGTATTTAAATTGGGTATAATTTTTGTCACTACTACTTTTTCCGCATATTTGGTATAGAAAGCACTTTAAACTACTTGTATTCTTCTCTAACGGTTTTATCTCTCTCTTTTCAGGTCAGCTGATCTCCGATGACGTCACCGAGGTCATCAACAGATACAATAAGGAATTTTTGACTCCTTACAGTAACCAGTTATCAACCAAGCCAGCCGGGGCTCAGTATGATGACAGTTATTTGGGTAAGCCTGTTTGTTTGCCAAAGTTGTAATTACGCTTGTGGTGATTTATATTTGCACTGTGAATCAGGTGTTGAGTTACACATGTAATGAGTATTTGGGTGCTTTAAAAATGCAATGTGCTTGTCTGTCTTCAGGCATCTATTTATGTATGCATGAATGTAAATGTTTGTGTGTATGTGCCATTTTGTTTATATATCTCGTAGGTTACTCTGTGGCTGTTGGAGATTTTAATGAGGATGGAGAAGATGGTAAGATATTTAATTTATTCATTTGGATATTTTGCACATGATACATGGTCATGTCAAGTGTGCCGCAAGCCTACGTTTGAGTGAAGGTTTCGGCCGTTAGATTGCCCCCTGGGGGCTGGCTGCAGTACAAGTCATAAAGCCCGCCTCCTCCGTGTTAATGAAGGAGACTTGAGCCCCAATTAAAAAAAAAATATTACACTTCCAATAAAATGTCCCGAAAGATAGTTCTGGTCGATTAAGGCACTGGTTATTGTGCTGAAATAGGTGCAGATCTTCATTTTTGTAAACAGTTTGTTTTTAGCAGTAATTTAATGCTGGGCGTGTCATCGTGATTGACAGCTGTGATTGACAGTTTCTCAAAGTGCGGCGTCTGAGCTTCGGCAGGAGACTGAAGTAGACTGAAATGTTATTATTCGATTTCTGTGTTATTTTACCATGACAAAATGAGTTCAGCAGTAAACTATAGTTTCTGACATACATGATCCTGGTGGAACACTGTTTATTCGCTAAGTTCAGGGCTTTTTTCGGGCTTTATTAGTTTGCTGATACACGCCTAGCCACCCAGATAGCAAAACACAGTTCCGGCTAGATTCTCGCCTGCCGGAGACTTATCTCTTAGAGCTCAGACTGACTAATGTTACCTCTGCTGGACCTACTCCGGATGCCTGGACTCACTACCCAATTCCAGCCCGAGTTAATCGAGCCAGATGCGGCGGCCGAGCGAGCAGGCGCTGCCGCATGCGAGCCGGAATCAGCCCGCGACGCCGCGAGTAAGTTATGTGTTGCGGCCTGGAGCTGGCGCGATTGAATATATAAAACCCTCATATTTGTTAACGTTATTACATCCATTTGTGTTGATATGACAGCAAACGCATGCTGAGAAGTTCGGGGGGCGTAGTTGATTTTACATAAAGCGTTTGATTGGAAGCTCGACTCTGCTCATTTTCGCGGCTCCTCCTCTGGCTCCATCAGACAATCCTTCTGCGCATGTCTGGCTCCAATTTCAGCAGTCTTTTGCGACAGTTTGTGCCCGTCAAGCAGGCATTTTGCCCTCAAGGCGTTCAATGGGAAAAAGGGCTGTTGCGTCGTCCATATTTTTTACAGTCATTGGGTCATGTGCGTTTTCAGTGGTGTAGTGTGGACGTAGAGCTGTTCAGAAATGCTAGGTGAAACGCCAGTGTGGATGTTTGTAGTCTTCATTCTAAAACGCTGTTTTAAAGCTAAAACATTAGTTTAATCTGGGCCTTAGTTAGCACAAGGCTTTGTTCCAAAACAAAAATGCACAAAAAAAAAATCCTACTGACCTTTAGCTAAATGGTGGCATAATTATAAGCAACCACGTGTTGTAATTAGCCTGATAAATCTAGTCTTTACTGACCTGCTCTAAATACCAGCCCCATACCAAAGCAAACTGAAATATTTTTATGGGAATTGCTCAAATCTGATTTTTCTTTGCGTTAGGATCAAGAAGCTTCACCGCTGAATGAAAGCATTGTTGTGTCCAGTTCATTGCTAACTCTTTTTGCCTCCCTAGATTATGTCACTGGAGTTCCTAGAGGGGAGAAGGCTCTCGGATATGTGAGTTTAATACTATTTATGGTCAAGAACCTGATGAAAAAACTCATAAAAGTGATGCAACCCTGCATGAATCAGCTTGCACGAATCTATGTCTGGTTGTGTCTTGTTAGGTCAACATTTTTAACGGGAGGAACATGGAGTCGATGTATAACTTCACAGGGACACAGGTGGGTGTAATGTGTCCAAATGCTGTCTATCGGGAGGTGTGTTTTAGGAGAGAAAAGCATGTTCAAGCGGTCTTGACTATGAACAGCCTGCAGGTCACATGACATGCCCATGCTTGTGGTCATGGCACAGTTATGTTTAACATTTGTTTACGAGCCGAGAGTTTATGTCTTAAATCCACTCCCACATCTGGAAGCCATTGACAGCAGTGTCGCCAACATATGAGCGCAAGAGGGAAAAGGATGAGGCGTGGTGCAAAAGGCATGACTTTTTGGCTGATTGTGATTACTGTAGTGGTGATTCATCAACAGTTCATTAAGCTGGATTCAACAAGCTCAGAAATTACATCTAGAAAAGAGGCACTATCATTACAAAAAATAATAATAATGGCTTGAAACTTTTATGTAGACATATTATTAGTTTAAATGCAGATTTTTTTGAGACTAAAGCTAGTCATGACTAAAAAATTTTTCTGTTTTTTTAGATGGCTGCTTACTTCGGTCATTCTGTGGCTGCTGTTGACGTTAATAATGATGGGTGAGTGATGATTTGCACTGACATGTTTTTTCCTTCCGAGTGGAGGTTGATGATTGCTACACACATTGATGAGTTTCTTCTTATAATAGTTTATTTTAAATTATATTTTAAATCAGTGGTTCCCATCTGGTCCAAAAAATGTGTAGTGCAGGTCAGGGTAGTGTTTAATTCTGTGCTGATTATTTGTGCTTCAAATGCAGACTCTCATAAAAGTAGCCTTTAGAAATAAAGCGAAAGAAATTATTTGTAATAAGGTGTGTTTTGGTCAAAAGTGTCAAATCTTATAATTTATCATGTTAATCAAACCTGTATGTCTTGCTAGTTCTGGAAAAGGCTATATTTTTAAAAAATGGCAAGCAGAATGAGATCAGTGGTCTTTTGAACTTTTGAAATCCAGCCTGAAATGGGAACAAAATCCAATTATGTTTTTTAACTCAAGACATGATTAGATGCATGAGATTTTTTTTTACAGAAGATGCCGTATCGGACACACAATACTCACACATGAACATTTACTCAAAGGAGAAGAACCCCCAAAATGTCAATATTGCATCAGAAACCAAACTATTAAATATATACTTGTGGAAATCCCTATTTTTAATGTTATCAGACAACAATTTTTATCTAAAGAGACTTTAAATTAAATATTTTTATATGTGAATCCTTCTAAAATTGCATGATTTATCAAAAGTAAACCTTAACTGTTTTAGATTTTTATCTTATATATTATTCATTCATTCATTCATTCATTTTCTTTTTGGCTTAGTCCCACTTATATATTATCATTATTATTATTTATGTATTTTTATCTTGTGTATTTATTGCTGTTGATGACTTGAAAGTTAATTGATAGAAAATATTTAGAAAAGTGGTATTTATAAAATATATATATATATATATTTTTTTTTTTTTTTTTTTTTGCCATGATTTAGCCATAGAAGCTGATGGCAGTAAACTCAAAATTCAGTGTATTAAAAATGTCATAAAATGTGACATTTATCTAAGAGTCTAATGTAAACATTTGACCAAAACATATTTTTCGAAATATTGAATTTTATATATAATAATTTTATTTATTGTTTTTATTTTTTTATTTAAATTCCCCTTTAATTTACAATTTACAAATTTGCAATTTTTATGTTAAGCGTGTTGAAGTTCGTAATAGTAGTTTATTATGTAATAGATATAATAAAATGCGGGCGACGCAGTGGCGCTGTAGGTAGCAGTGGCGCAGTAGGTAGTGCTTTCGCCTCACAGCAAGAAGGTCGCTGGGTTGCTGGTTCGAACCTCGGCTCAGTTGGTGTTTCTGTGTGGAGTTTGCATGTTCTCCCTTCGTTTACGTGGGTTTCTTCCGGGTGCTCCGGTTTCCCCCACACTCCAAAGACATGCGGTACAGGTGAATTGGGTAGGCTAAATTGTCCGTAGTGCGTGCGTGCGTGCGTGCGTGCGTGCGTGTGTGTGTGTGTGTGTGTGTGGATGTTTCCTAGAGATGGGTTGCGGCTGGAAGGGCATCCGCTGCGTAAAAACGTGCTGGATAAGTTTGCGGTTCATTCAGCTGTGGCGACCCTGGATTAATAAAGGGACTAAGCTGACAAGAAAATGAATGTATAAATGAATAATAAAATGTTTACAACATTCAATGTTTCTTTGTTGCTTGTTTCAACCCATTGTTGGCGTTCTCATTCATAATCAGTCCGATTTTTGTTTGCCCCATTTGATGAAGTTTATGTATAGGCGTTGCTTTTGCTGATTAAAGGTTGCTTGTCCTGCAAAATAAAAATGTAATCTGATTAGTTCGGCTAATGATCTTACGATTCTTTGCAAGATGCAAAAGTAATTGCTTTGGTGTTTACATAAACACACGTCAACCCACAGAACAATAATCCAAAACAACCATGTAACAAAGTACTAAAACCCGTTTAAAAAAAAAACACATTAGGAATGGCATATCAGTTCACTAACAATCTCTAAAAACAACAATGCAGCCAAATAACCATGTGATTAAAAGTTTAGAAATTGAAACTTGCTCTACAAAATGGAAACTGTGGTTTTTGTGGCTCCGTGTGACACTCTCAGTGTCTGGTTCTCTTTTGCCATGCCTCTAAAAGTGATAGTGGTTAAGTGAAAAAAAGCTTCTGCTTTATATATATATATATATATATATATATATATATATATATATATATATATATATATATATATATATATATATATATATATATATATATATAAAATGCCATTCTGAGTTTAGCCAGTGTTTTAAGTTTGAACAACCCTCTGAATAACATTGAATAAACAAATTGCAGCCTGAATGAAAGGGTCAGTAGTGAAGTCTGCACTTAGTCTCATAAACCGTATAATTTAAAAGGTAATGATCCGCACTCATTAAATAATTACTTTATATTTGTGTATTTCACATTTTTCTTAAATATAGAATAGAAATTTTTCAGTTCATACCATCCTCAGTGTGTTTAGGGAGACCGAGGAAGGCATTGAGCCAAAACTTGTTTAAATCTCCGAAGAAAGTGAAATAAAGAAATAAAAAGTAATTATTTAATGAGTGCAGATCATGACCATTTGAATTAGCTTGATTAAAAGGGTCATGAGGCGACGCAGTGGCGCAGTAGGTAGTTTCCTCCGGGTGCTCCGGTTTCCCCCCAGTCCAAAGACATGCGGTACAGGTGAATCGAGTAAGCTAAATCGTCCGTCGTGTATGAGTAGGTATGGATGTTTCCTAGTGATTGGTTGCAGCTGGAAAGGCATCCGCTGTGTAAAAACATGCTGGATATGTTGACGGTTCATTCCTCTGTGGTGAACCCAGATTAATAAAGGGACTAAGCCAAAAAGAAAATGAATTAATGAATTAATGAATGAATGAATGAATGAATGAATGAAAAGGGTCATGAAATGTGTTTCTTGTAAGCAATTAATGCAAAAATGCAGGTCATTTTTGTTTAATTAAGCAAAGAAAGTGTGTTCATTTCAGTAAGTTTTGTGTGTTTACTTAAACCATGATGTTTTGTAATTTCTGAAGTTTGTGTTTTGTGACCCGTGTTTTAGAAACCTGATGAGAACTGCAGCTTTAAATGATATTCATCTCAGCGATGACTTTATACGATTCTGTCAGCACCGAGTAAACCTACCCTAAAAATATGCACAGCAGCTTTTTGAGAGCATTCACTGGCAGTATTTCAGAAAATGAGCTGTAATCTGAACATTGTGCAACAGCGAAGATAAATTTACCTTCGTTTCCCCCTCATGTTTCTCTTTGTCTGAACTTGTTGCCCATTTTTGTGTTCAGAAAGACCTGCATCATATAAGTACATGTGAAGCCTTTTTTAAGCAACTCTTAAACGCATATAGATTTTGATCAAAGTTAGACTGCTTGTTTAAACACTGTGTATATCGATGATGTGTTCCAATGGCATAAATCTTGTAACCTCCTCAGGAAAATGGATTTGTTTGTGGGGGCTCCTCTATTTATGGACCGGGGCTCAGATGGCAAACTGAGGGAAGTGGGTCAGGTCTATGTCTACCTAGGAAAAGGTGGCTTCACCTTCAACAGTGTCATCAAACTCACCGGCTCCGAGATCTATGCTCGATACGGAAGCTCAGTCTGCAGCGTGGGAGACCTTAACATGGACGGATATAACGGTATCATTTTGACTCCTCTCGATGTGTTCACTGTGTTTATTCAAAACAACTTGCTTGCAACATAGACAGACAACCAGCACTTATATGGTCATTTGTGGTCAGAGGCTGTCACTGTCTTCCTGACCACATCATGCAACCGTAGTCATGAGTCAGGAGCTTTTTGAGCAACGTCTGTACTAACGGCTAAGAACACAATACTCCTCATGGTGGTTACTCAATGACTGTGACTTAGATTGTTTTTATGCTTAATCCCTCTGTTTTCCATGTGGCTTTTTGCAGATGTGGCCATTGCTGCTCCATATGGTGGGCCGTTCCACCGCGGCCTGGTGTACATCCATAATGGCCGTTCCACAGGGCCCAATCCTGTGGCCTCTCAAGTTCTGGAAGGAACATGGGCATCTGTGTCCATGCCATCCAGCTTTGGTTATTCCATGAATGGAGGCACCGATGTGGATCAGAATGGATACCCTGGTTAGATTTTTAACAGTGTTGTACGAATTTAAACAGTTAATTGAACCTATTGTCAACTTAATTCAACCCTGTGCCCTCATGCTCTTCTTATTTTCTTTCTCTCAAAACTCTAGACCTGATTGTTGGGGCTTTTGGAGCTGACAAAGCCATTCTGTACAGGTAGTGTGCTTAGTTTTCACTTTGAAGCCACACATGCATTTGATACACTTTTATGATCAAGGCCGGATACGCTATTAAAGGTGGTCTCATTTAATTCAGCAGCATTTAATTTGCTTTATGGGCAAGTAGAGAAAGCAGTTAGAGCCTGCATTAAAAGCTTATCATGGTGGAAACCTACTTTGTCTATATTTGTACATGGAAGACCACCAGGTATAGATTGAATCAGGATTGTGCAAACTGTAAGCGTTATACTGTACAGTCAGCTGGGCATTATTGCCATGTAAGCTTTGACTAACAGTGGTCAGATCATTAGCTGAGTCATAGACTGCCATTTGCAATGTGAAGATCCCTTCCCAAAGGATATCTGCTTGGATCATAGTGTACTAAGGTCCAAAATGAGTGATTCAGAATTTGTCACGGTGTTGATCTCATAAAAAGAACATTGTTGTATAGTTTTAATGATTTCACCCAGATGTGAAAATCATTGCTTTTCTTAAAGGTATAGTCAGTTGTTGGGCAAGCTACTTGAAAAATATAGTGAGCTAAGCTGTACATAAAACTCTACATAAAATGAAGCTCAACTACACTAAAAGCTACACCTTAGGAATTGTAGCAAGCTAAGCTAAAAGCTAATTTGCAAAAGTAGCTTAGCTACATCCAAGCTAATCTTGTAATTTTCATTTTTAAATCAAAGAAACTTAAATCCATATCAATCATATCTTAGAGATCAATGAAACATATGAGGGATAATTGTTCAGTTATTTACTGCATCTAATATGCTGTGCTAAACAAACAAATTATAGTATATGACAGGTGTTACACATTTAAAATAATTTAAAATGCTTTGTTTTTTTAGGGCCCGTCCCGTCATCAGTGTGAACACCACGTTGGATATTAGCCCACAGATCTTGAATCCTGAAGACAAAAGCTGTACCTTGCCTAGTACAGCTACTAAAGTTTCCTGGTGAGTGAAGCGTTTTTATCTGCCTATTTTGACCAAACAACCTTTTTAGCAATATAGATTTTGTAAGTCAACAAATATACAGTTGAAATCAGAATTATTAAACCCCCTTTGATTTATGTATTTTATTTATTTTTTCTTTTTTGAAATATTTCCCAAATGATTTCCCAAACCATTGTTATACAATAACTTGCCTAATTACCCTAACCTGCCTAGTTAACCTAATTAATCCAGTTAAGCTTTTAAATGTCACTTTAAGCTGTATAGAAGTGTCTTGAAAAATATCTAGTCAAATATTATTTACTGTCATCATGGCAAAGATAAAATTAATCAGTTATTAAAAATTAGTTATTAAAACTATTTTGTTTAGAAATGTGTTGAAAACATCTTTTCTCTGTTAAACAGAAATTGGGGAAAAAAATAAACAGGGGGGCTTATAATTCAGGGGGGGCTTATAATTCAGAGGGGCTAATAATTCTGACCTCGACAATGGAAAGATGTTTTATGTAAATGTGTGACAACTGCAATTTAAACTCTTTTTTTTACAATAAAGATTTCCTTTTTACATCTGCATATTTATAAATTCATAGTCCTTTTAATGCAAGTCATTTTACTAAGTAGCCTTGTTCGAAACTTCTCTTAGGAAGCTATTTCAGTCATGCAAGTTCAGCTCCTACAGTTTTCAATAGGACAAAATATGTTTTATTTTTCATTTAGCATCTATCTTGTTTTTCAAGCTAGACAAATGAGGCCCTAAGATCATCGCTTTGTAGCAACCAGCAATTCTAACAGCAGCTGCTTTGATGCAATGACTTTACTAACTTGCCGCTGGCCCCTAAAAGTCTGCATAAGCCAGAAGCTGCAGAGACTTATTTCAGTATGTTGGTGGATTTCCAACTTAAACAAAATATTGAGTAGGGGGCGGGACTTCTGTGTATCATTTTTTTAAGGGTAGAGGACCATGGTTATAAATATTCTGGCAGAAGCCATCACACTGATGTTAACAGCTTTGATTGAAGATTACCAAAACTGGTGTTTTTTTTTTTTTTAGTGGATTAACTTGCACAGATTAACCGTTTACCTAAACAGTAATAATGTGCACTAGCGAAATAAATTGTGTGAATTTTGATTTCACACAGACTTTAATTTAGAAGGCAGGAGTATTTTGCGGAATTGTGTGTTGCTCTTTGATTGAGTGCACCATTTTTTTAATACAAAAAGAGATAAAAGCTAAAAGTTTGCTTTGAATGTCACTAATTTATTACCATGCTTGATGTTTTTTTTTTATTTTTTATAATTGTTTGAGGTTTGTTGCTTTTACATACTGCTCATCAAAACTATTCATTCCTTAAATACAAATTATAATGCACTGGGTTTATCATCATTAAAAAAAAAAGTACTAAGATATATCTTTTGACAACTGTGCAATATATACACTACCTGACAAAAGTCTTGTTGCCTATCCAAGTTTTAGGAACAACAAATAATAACTTGACTTCTAGTTGTTCATTTGATATCAGAAGTGGCTTATATGAAAGGCAAAGGCCTCTAGATTACGCTTATTTTACCAAAATAAAATTTTCATGCCTTGATTTTAATTATTTATTAAGACAGTATTGTCTGACTTTGCTTAGACAAAAGTCTTGTCACTTAACAGAAATAATGTACAGTACAGAATATGAAGTCATGGTGCAGTGGAAAGATAATTAATATTGTGTATGATTTCCATGAGCTTGTAGGATTGCATCCATACATCTCTACAATGACTCAAATAATGGCAAAGGAAGCGTTCTTACAGGACTCCCAGAGATTTTTTGGATTCATTGTCAATGCCTCCTTCATCTTACCCCAGGCATGCCTAATAATGTTAATATCTGGTGACTGGGCTGGCCAATCCTGGAGCACATTGACCTTATTTCCTTACAAGAACTTTGATGTGGAGGCTGAAGTTTGAGACGGAGCGCTATCCTGCTGACGAATTTACCCTTTCCTGTGGTTTGTAACGTAATGGGTAAAACAAATGTCTTGCCATCCACAAAAAAATGTGTTGCCATCCACTCTGCAGATCTCTCGCACGCCCCCATACTGAATGCAACCCCAAACCATGATTATTCCTTTACCAAACTTGACTGATTTCTGTGAGAATCTTGGGTCCATCCAGGTTCCAATAGGTCTTCCGCAGTATTTGTGACGTTTGACATGCAATTCCTAAAAATCTACCTTCTGTCACATTTCAAAATGATTAATTAGAAGTCAAGATATTATTTGTTGCTCTTACAACTGGGATAGACGAAAAGACTTTTGTCAGGTAGTGTATAGAGTAAAATTGTGTTAATACCATAATATCCATGATGTTCTCAATTCCTTCTCTTAGTTTCACTGTGAAGTACTGTCTCAAGGCTAGTGGCAAGGGAGCGCCATCTTCCCTTCGTAAGTAATTATTTCTTCATATATGCAAATTATCACAACTTACAATATTTAGGGAAATTGAACCTACTATTGCAAGTAGTAGGAGCACATGACTGCTGTAAAGGGAGCCATGCTGTTGCGGTGTGTGTTAAGAGCACCGCTGCAGGGGTAAACTAGAGCTCGACGTGTCAGGCATCAGTGTGTTTGGAGCCGGACGTACGGTAGAGCCGTTAAAAAGCCCAGCGTCCGGCGCTCACAAAAGCCTTCACATGGATCTCACAGTTTGGGGTGTAATGGCTACCAGACCCGCAGCCCACTGTTCATAGACCACAGACCATGATGCCAATTCATTATTTCTCTGTGTGCTTTGAAGTTCTCCTATGCTCTGCTTGAGCTAATGGCTGCTGTTGCGCAAGCTTAAGGTACGGATGTGTGTATAGTCATAAATGGATTTGTTTAAATTAAAATATTGGTCACATTTTGCAATAATGTCCCCACAGTTAATGTATTTACTAACATGAACTAAGAATAAACAATTCTGGCAACACATTTATTAATCATAGTTCAATATTCACTAAAGCATTATTGAAATCCATAATCATTTTATTATTAGTTAATGCACTGAGTTAACAAAACATATCAATAAGCGTCAAATGTGATTTTATTAACAAACATTAAAGTCCACATGAACTGGAAGTGGGCAACACGGTGGCACAGTAGGTAGTGCTGTCGCCTCACAGCAAGAAGGTCGCTGGTTCGAGTCTCGGCTTTGTCAGTTGACATTTCTGTGTGGAATTTGCTTGTTCTCCCTGCGTTCGATTGGGTGTCCTCCGGGTGCTCCGGTTTCCCCCACAAGGCCAAAGATATGTGGTACAGGTAAATTGTGTAAGCTAAATTGTCCTTGGTGTATGTGTGTGAATGAGTGGATGTTTCACAGTGAAATTATGACTAGGCAAACCAAGTATTTGAATAATTAACAAAGCGTTAACATCTGTAAACTGTAGTATGCCTTTTAAGGTAGTATAGTTCTACCATAAATTACCATTGTCATTATTTACTCTTCCTTTGTGTCATTTCTTATCACTTACTGTCTTTAGTAGAACAATAAAGAGATTTTTAGAATTTCTCGGTTATTTTCACACTGTGCAAGTCCTCCATTGTTTGAGACTCAAAATTGTTTAAAATACTTACGTTTGTATTGTGCGGGAGAAGAAAGTCGTATCAGTTTGAAGGTATTCATAATCGATGTTTTGAAATCTAAAAGTGCTTTTTAGGCCATATTAACGCTCCCTAATTTTGTTATGGATGTCCCTATAAAATCAAAACTATCTATATAATTTTGTTTGCTCACATTGCTAGTTTTGTGGCGAACAATTCATTTGTGCATGTTAGGGCTGCACAATATATCGTTTCTGCATCGATATCACAATGTGATCATTTACAATAGTCATATTGCGAGTATATGCAATGTTGAGCCTGGATTATAATTTATCATTTCTCAAGTGTTTTTTCAGGCCTGTGACTGTGTAAAGGTTTCAAAATCGTTTAGCCGTAGAAAATTCTAACAGCTTTCGGATGAGACGTTAAACCGAGGTCCTGAGGTCCTCTGGTCATTAAAAATCCCATGGCACTTCTCGTAAAAAGTAGGGGTGTAACCCTGATGTCCTGGACAATTCCTTATATTGGCCCTTACCAATCATGGCCTCCCAATCAATTCTGTCCACTGAATTGGCTCCATCACTGTCACTCCACTCACCCTATAGCTGGTGTGCGGTGAGTGCACTGGTGCTGTTGTCCTGTGGCTACTGTCGCATCATTCAAGTGGATGCTGCAAACTGGTGGTGGTGTGTAGAAACGAACTCCCCTTATGATTGTGAAGCCCATTGGGTGTATGGCCATACATGATAAATGCACTATATAAATACACATCACATTACATTGTAACATTGAAGAATTAACATCAATTTTATTTTCTATTTTTGAATTGATCTATTATATTTTACACACGGGTGAGGCAGTGGCGCAGTAGGTAGCGTTGTCGCCTCACAGCAAGAAGGTCGCTGGGTCGCTGGTTCGAACCTCGGCTCAGTTAGCGTTTCTGTGTGGAGTTTGCATGTTTTCCCTGCCTTCGTGTGGGTTTCCTCTGGGTGCTCCGGTTTCCCCCACTGTCCAAAGACATGTGGTACAGGTGAATTGGGTAGGCTAAATTGTCCGTAGTGTGTGTGGATGTTTCCCAGAGATGGGTTGCGGCTGGAAGGGCGTCCGCTGCGTAAAAACTTGCTGGATAAGTTGACGGTTCATTCCGCTGTATCGACCCTGGATTAATAAAGGGACTAAGCCGACAAGAAAATTAATGAATATTTTACACACTGCCCTACAGAATCATCCCAGTCAATCTAAAATTATTAGTTTTCCTAATAGCTATTCAACTTATCTAGTAAAATTATATGTATATCGCGGTGTATATTGCAGAATAAAACCGTATCGCAATGTTATATTTTTCCAATATCTTTCATGTCATTAAGAAAAGAAAAATTGTTTGCCCTTTTAATCTTTAATTTAAATCTAAAAATGCACTTCCTGTTTTTATTTATTATTTTTTTTAATTAAATTGTAAATTACGTACATCTTAGGAATTAAGAAAGGCTAACATATTTAACCACACCGCTCCAACTGTGAGACAACAAACAGAAATGGTGAGGAGGATGAGTCTGTTAGGTTTTAATAACTCTCCCCAGACCCTTTTCCCCATCTTTCTGAATGAAATGCCTACTTTACTACATCCACTCAGCTTGCAGGAAAAACACAAGCCACGCCCACTCTTTACTCATTTAATATTCCATTTCTCTAAGAGCTGCGTCATAATACGAAAAAAAAAAAATGTTGCAGCTTCTGGTTCATATGGACTTTAACAGTAGGCTTGGATCATTTCAGGGTCAAAGTTCTCAAAATACACATTGCAGTATTACTTCTTTTCACACAGTGTCTAAAATGGTTTGTTCTAGGATCCTTTCTTTTTAAGCCCCTCCTTTAAAGTAGTGTACTCTGCTTTGATTGGTCTTATAACAATAAAAAGCCAATGAGTACATTTATTTTGCACTCTAATATTTAATACATGGGATACCCTGCACTCTTATAAACGGCTAAATACACACTACATAAAGGGTCATATCTGACACTTAACATTTAAAGTTGCTTTTAAGGTCAGCCATATTTATAACCCTCTGCTTGTCACTAAGAGGTCAGTAGTGAAACTTCACACAGTAAGAGCTATAATCATTTTATCTTTTGAACAAGACTTTTAACCCTAATTTAGCTCCATGTAAACATGGAGTATTTTACCTTTAGGTTCAGAGATTCTGGGCTGTCACAGCCTTTGAAGGTTTAAGGGTTGACTGCCTGTGTTCTAAACAGTTCATTTGCAGCTTATGTTTCATTTGCTCATATCCTTTAAATCACCTCGCTCTCTTTTAAAGGAGGAGCTCTGTTATGTGAAGAATGTAAATAACTCCCTCATTCCTTCTGAATTTATTGCTTCTTTTATTACTATCTGTGTTTTCTCCTCTAACTTTATTATAATTGAAAATGGAAAAAGGGGGGATCAGACTGAGTTGATGAGACTGATTTCATTCACAGTTTTCCAAGTGGATTTGACCCTGGACCGCCTCAAGCACAAAGGAGCCATCAAACGGGTGCTGTTCCTCTACAACAAGATGTCTCATTATTCGAAGAACATGACCGTCAACAACAACCAGGGGCTGGCCTGCGAGGAGCTTCAGGCTTATTTAATAGTGAGCGAATCCTTTCACATTTATGCAAACGAAACATCAGCATTTTTGAAGTGTGTTCCATTTTACAGGACATCTAACCTGTTACATTCCTGACATGTGTAAACCTACAGGAAACTTTTCTCGTTCACTTCTGCTGGTCACTGCAGTACTGGACGGTGAAAATGTTTTGCTTTACGTGGCCAGCCGAAGAAGTGCTGATGCCTTTATGTCATCAAATATGTGTTTATAGCCGTGGTGGCAGATAGCCCAGATGTTTGGCATCGGGATATGCCGTTATTTTGTTTTCAAAAAAGGAACAATGTGTTACAGAGCTTAAGAAGGATTCGACCTGAAAGCCAAAGCTCTCTTTCCTGGACATAAAAGAGCATGTTGTAGAGCTTGTAAGCTAGACTGAAATTCCCCAGGCTTGAGCTCATTGACACAGAGGCCCCATTACTCTCTCTGTCCACTTTCCTCTCTCTCTCACCCCCCCCCCCCTCTCTCTCTCTCTCTCTCTTTCTCTCTCTCTCTCTCTCTCTCTCTCTCTCTCTCTCTCTCTTTTAACAGGATGACTCAGAATTCAGGGATAAGATCACACCCATCTCTGTTTTTATGGAGTACAGTTTGGATTTCAAATCGGCTGCAGATAAAACCGGCCTCTTGCCCATCCTTGACCAGTCTGCTCCTACAAACGTCACCAAGCAGGTACAACTTTCCCACATTAGACCTCTGCTTACTGGAGCTCTGCATATACATGCTTAATGTTTAAGTATTTTGTGTTATTGGCAACACATCTGGGTCGTAAATAACACACACAGAATAACATGTGGCTAATTAAAAATATATAATTAAAGCTAATAATAAATTAGCTTACATATAATTATTTATTTAATAAAACCGACATGGTTCTTTTGAAAATATGCCACTATAGGCAAAACCTCAAAATAGGTTACATTATGTCCCAGTTTACAGCTGTTCCTGGCAATTTGTTACCTTAGAATTATAAGGTTCTATCTGCCATTTTTTAGGGATGTCCCAATACAACATTTTAACTTCCGATACGATACCGATATTGCAGCCATCAGTCCGATACGATACCAATATAAATCCGATATCAGCACAAATTATGAATACTTTATTTTTACGTTAGAGATGTGCCGTTGTTGCTAGCGTCAGCGTGTGCTACCGTCACAATAGATTTCTATCGTAATACACCATAACTTAGTGTGAAGAGCATGTTAAATCTTAGAGACTTTGTTTGCTAGCAAGCAGTGTTGTGATCACGTGGGCTTTGCACACTGGCTCTGGATGCTGCTGGATAGAATAGCTGTAACGGAGTTTAGAGAGTATCGTACTGCTTATATGGGAGATTTTTAACGCACTCCGATATAGTTTTTTGGACTGATATCGGACGAATTTCCGATATCAATATCGGATCGGGACATCCCTACCATTTTTGTCAAAATTTAGTTATTGACATATTCTTATTAAATAAAAAAAAACTTATTTACATTATAGGATGTTTTTTAAAAGATGTTTACATTTTAAGACTTTTATTTAAAAACAGCAAATGTTACACACATATCGTTTGCTATGAAATAGCAAAAAAAAACTTTGAAGCTTAATATCTCAAAATCATTCAGAATGCAGATAGAACCCTTTAATTCCAAGGTGTCGAATTATTAACGCACGCACACAAGGGGAGCCACAGTTTTCTGTTCATTGCTCTCACACACACAAGCTTTCGTTTTATAAATGTGTACAATATATAATAATAGACATTTGCATGTTTATCAGGCTAAGCTATGATATGCATGGAGTGGATAACCTACAAAATTAAGAAATTTTGCGTGTTGATATGTGTAATATGTCCATTTAAATCTCTTTATTTTGCTGTGATAGCTGTGCTTTGTTTGACTGGCCATAGCTATTGTTATATGTTTAAAAGCGAAATTGTTACCTGTTGCACATATAATAAGTACAGTGTATAAAAAAAATGCATTTACTGAATGCAACCACCCAGTCTGTAGTAATCTTTCTCTGTAAAAGTATATTATCTTATAGCCTACTCTTTCTTGTTTACGGGACTATATAGACGTTGGTCTAATCATTTGAACAAATTCTTTTCCCAACACTGCAAAAGTAAATCTTAAAACACTGCGCTGAGAATAGGAACGATCAAAGTTTTCATCTCCGATTCTTGGGAGGTGAAAAATCATAAATCGGTCTAAAACTCCTGTAGTCTGAAGCCGGATTTAGCTGACAAAATCTTTGGTAAAGGTAGGGCTGGGCGATTAATCAAAGTAATTGAAATGGTCATTCAGAGCCTACAATTGATCTTGAAAAGATTTTTTCTAATTACTTTCCCTAAGTGTCACATGAGCTGTAAAACTTGTCAGGGAACTATGAGGGCACCATTTTTTTTTAAATAAGTAAAATAATCATTCATTAATCAAGTTAAAATGTTTAATTAATCAAAGTTTTGATTTTAGATCAAATTGCCCAGCCATAGTTAAAACGCCACCCAGCAGTCAAAAGCTGCAGGTGCATTTACTGCCGCGAATGTGGCGGCAGAGGGAACACATTGAAGTGTTAACATCTGTACACTGTGTTCAAATATTTAACAGTCAGTAGGATTTTACAAATATTTTTTTAGGCTTGACCAAGGTGGTCTTTACAGAAAGTGCAACAATTTTTCAAATATATTTATTTGTACATTTATTTTTTTATTTAATAATTTTACAAAATGTAATTTATATTTAAATTTATTCCTCTGACTGCTGAAATTTCAGCATTATTACTTCAGTCTTCAGAAATCAGCCTAATATGATTATTTGCAGCTAAAGAATTTTTTTTAATTGAATTTTTTTTTTATGGAATGAACCATATTTATTGGAAATAGAAATCTAAAAAAGGGATAGTTAATTGAAAATGACCATTCTGGTTTACTCCCCCACTTGTTTCAAATATGTTTACGTTTTTTTTTTTTTTTTCTTCAGTTGCACGCAAAGCAATATACCCTGACTTTTGGGAAAAAGAATGTTGCAGTAATTTCTGTTCCTACTATGGATGTCAATGTTTGCTTTTTCCAGCATTCTACAGAGTATCTTTTGTGTTCAGCAGACAAAATAAATTAATAAAAGTTTTGAAGCACTTGAGTGTGTAAGTTTTCAGTTTCTCTTTAAATCTCTTTAATTACTGACTTTTAAACAGTCCTGTGCATTCTTGCAGATAAAACATGTTAATTAATTAAAAAAAATCTTAGCAACTTAAAGCTTTTAAATGATAGTGAATCAGCACTGTGTTTGCTCATATACTCCAGAAAGATTTCAGTGTCTGCAGCAAAGGATGACGATATAATAGATGAATGAGGTTTACACAGCGTGAATAGCTGCCATGGTAGAGTTAAAATCTGATTAATGACTTTCAGGCTTCTAACAATGTTGTTATATTTCTTTTTAATATTAGCTGGATTCCCACAGACCACTGGAAATAGAAAACATAATTTAAGATCATATACTTAGTCTGGAAAAGATCTTAAGTTATTAAGTTATGCTTTTTTCTAAAATATTTATTTTCATTGTGGAAAAAGTGTACTTCGGTCTCTTCAGTGGTGGAAATGATTTGCAGATTGGCCCAAATTGGGCTCAAGTGAATCAGTTTGAATTATTTTAGATATTAATATTGAAGTTGAATCTCAAACCGCTTAAAAACCAGTTGAAAGTCATTGGATAAAAAAAGGAAGCGTGTGAACCCTGGATTAAATAAATAGTACAGCGTTCACTCAGAAGATAAAATCTTGCATTCTCATTTAAAAAAAAGCTTTGCATAAAAATAGGAACAAGTTTTAATTTTCCCATGTTTTGTAATTTTTCCAGGCTCACATACTCCTGGATTGTGGCGAGGACAATATCTGCAAGCCAGACTTAAAACTGTCTGTGGTGAGGTGAGTCAGAGGTTCATCTGAGCCCTAAATTCCAGTGTATTATCAGTCGGTGTGAGCTGGAGATGATCTCCGTGTGCATCTGTCCGTTTGATGTTCTTTTTCTTGCACCAGTGACCAGAACGAGATCTACATAGGTGACGACAACCCACTGACCCTGGAGGTCACAGCAGAAAATGGAGGAGAAGGGGCATACGAGGCTGACCTGATCGTCACTCTTCCATCACAGGCCGATTTCACTGCGGTCGTGCGTAACAGTGAGGTGAGCAGTGACCCCTGTGCAACTATTAAAGTGTGACCTTTCATAATGAGGTTTGGAGCTTTTAAAGGGTTGTTCTGGCTTTAATCACACGTTCAACTCCATGAAGAGTATGCTTAGTTTGTTGAGACTAGCCAGAATTGTTGGGTAAATGTAGTCCTAAAGCTTGGGGCACACCTTTTTATTTTCAAAGAATTAGCAGTGATGAAAACTGACTGTATTGTTACTTCACGTCTGTTGGGTCTGGTCTCATCTGGAACAAAAAGTTGCGCGTAAACATCAAACGGCTGACTGAAACGAGTTCATACATTCTGTGCCTGTGTATCTTTTCATACCTGCAGATGGCAGTATTTGTATTGTCAAGGGAAACTGGAACTTGTGCTGAACACACAAACCATAAACAGGCCAGTGTTTACATACCAATTTCATAGTACCTCTTGCTCACCACAGAGAGATTTGCTTGTCCAAATATGTCTGACAATCAATATTATTTGCAAATATTTGAGAAATGCAACAAAATGAACATACTGTTTATAGGACGCATTACTAGCCTTGGTGTTCACATTAATGTTAATTTGTGCACATTTTACAGTAAAAACTGGGAAACCCTGACCGACCAGTAGCTCTTTTGTATTTAAAGAGACACACAAGAAAACACTTCTTTTCTTCAGCGCTAAAATGCACACTTATATTATGTTAAAGCAAGTTATTTTGAGTTGAAACTTTGCAGATATATTTTGGACACTGAGCTATAACAATAACATTAATAATAATAATAATAATAATAATAATGGCGACGAATTAGCGCAGTGGGTAGCACGTTCGCCTCACAGCAAGAAGGTCGCTGGGTTGCTGTGTGGAGTTTGCATGTTCTCCCTGCGTTCACGTGGGTTTCCTCCGGGTACTCCGGTTTCCCCCACAGTCCAAAGACATGCGGTACAGGTGAATTTGGTAGGCTAAATTGTCCGTAGTGTATGAGTGTGTGTGTGAATGTGTGTGTGGATGTTTCCCCGAGATGAGTTGTGGTTGGAAGGGCATCCGCTGCGTAAAAAACTTGCTGGATAAGTTGGCGGTTCTTTCCGCTGTGGCGACCCGGATTAATAAAGGGACTAAGCCGACAAGAAAATGAATGAATGAATAATAATAATAATAATAATAATAATGATAAAAATCTAATTTTATTTAAGAAGGATTAATTCATTACATTATAAATTAATTTTATGAAGATATCTTTTTACAAATGTTAGAAATTTACATAAGGATATAATTAATTAAATTACATCTTGCAAAAAAATGCACTATATCTAAATGTGTGTATGTGTATCATTTAAAGTTTAGTTTTAGTAAAATTGTATACAATACTTTATTTTACAGTAATAAAAAAAGGAAAAGTTGTGCTAAAATGTTATAAAATGTTTATTTTAAATAAATGAAATTTCTGAATGTTTGTGTGTGGATGTTTCCCAGAGATGGGTCGCAGCTGGAAGCGCATCCGCAGCATAAAAATATGTGCTGGATAGGCTGACGGTTCATTACGCTGTGGCCACCCCGGATTGATAGGGGGACTAAGCCGAAAAGAAAATGAAGGAATAAATGAATGACATTTCTATCATAATGGATGTTCGGTTCTGGGTTTTTTGGAGTCGACTCAGATTCTTGACTCCTAATTTTTGGAGTCGGTGGAAACATGCTGTATCATATCATGCTTTAATGCTACTGCGGTACATTTTACAGCATATTTTAATAGTCTAGTTTAGATAATTTAGACAATTACATTGCTATCTTGGGAACAGAAAGTTAAAACATCAATTTATTATCGAAATGTTTAAATTAATTCAAGTTTATTTCTATAGAGCTTTTATAATGTAGGTTGTGTCAAAGCGGTTTAACATAGAAGTTCTAGTAAAGTCCGGATTTCCGGGTTTAATGAAAGATGTGTAGCAGTTCAATAACAAAGAAAAAAAAACAATTGTGGTCAAATGATTTTTTCAAAAAATAACAATAATAAATGTCATGCAGGGCCAACCCAAATCTGCGGTTGTTCATTTTTCTTTATTTTTTTTTCTTTATTTTTATTGACAATCCAACATATCAATAAACAAAACAGCTAGATTTTCCATTTGATTAATGACCAATTAAATATTATAACCCTACACAAAATGTTTAACCTAATTAATTCATACATTAACAAACCTAAAATAAAAGCAGCGTGACTGTGCCTTTCAGCATCATATTGCTCTCTCTCTCGTAAATGTGTTTTTTTTTTTTTTGGACTTTTAAAAAGCTCATTACTTAACTTTTAAATGTCACTGTTTGTTTTGTGCAGTTTGTTCATCATTGTAATTCAAAAAGGGTTAATGGGGCGGCATACGCCAGAAGAAAAGGAGTGAGTCAGGCCTGTTTTTGAACACTTGGCTTTGGCTAAATATTTTTTTTAAATCTTCTTTTGAAAACGAATTTGATTCGGTAGTTATAGACTATATCTTAATTCTGATGTTCTCATGAAATACATTCTGATGTATTTTTGTATTTTCTGTTTACAAAATAAGTAAAAGAATGAATATTAGTATATTCATTTTATATTATTATTAATATTATTAATATATTGAGTGCATTCAGGGCCAAAACATAACCATGACCACATTTATTGTCAGATTTTGTGACAATTAATAAATCTTGGCTACTTTTGTCATTATATTTAGTGATTTATTTATAAATTAATAAATAAATAAATTAATTTATTTATTTATTCATGAAATGGGCATGAGATAAATAAAATTACTTGAGAATATAACAGCAGCCAATAGCTTTAACATAACATCATAATTTTACCTGCAGTACTAATTTAGGTTCCGCAGATAGTATCTGATTCGCTCCAAATTAACACACATATACATAAGGGCTATATTTCATTTAAAACACAGAAAACCTGACATCACATCCAAACAATTGCTTTAAAACAAAAATGCAAAAGGTGTACGTGCTTTATAAGAATTTGAAAGTGAAAGCAAACTTCATCCTGCACGACTATTCATAATAGCCTAGAGTGCTCATAGTTGCGAAATTCAAAAGCAAGTGTAAATTGTGTGAACATACATTCAAATGAGGCATCTTCAGTGTTCATTGTGGTAGAGAATGAGAATCATAACTATAGCATGTTACTGCTTCGTTCAGGAAGATTTAAAAAAACAGACTCGTCTCTGGAAGTTGATTCCAGTACTAGATCTATTGAGAGTCGACTCCCCATCCCTAATTAAAAAAAAAAAAAAAAATGAAGCAGCACAACTCTTTTTAGCATGACTAATAATAGCAAATGTTTTATCAAGTCAAATTCACAACTACTCTAGCCTTAAATTAATGACTATTCTAATTTTAAATGTAATTTGTTTTGTTTTTACTGTATTTTTGATCAAAGTGAGCATAAAAAAGGTCCCCCAAAAACTTGATCAAATCATGCAACCACTAAATTTCTGAGCATTTGTTTGTGTGTGTTTGAAGTGCAGTAATTTTGAGATTGTTTAAGGATTCGTATGTCATTTGTGTATTTCAGACGTTGTCCAGACTGTCCTGTGCTTTCAAGAAAGACAATCAGACCAGGGTGGTCGTGTGTGATCTTGGCAACCCAATGAAAGGAGGAACTAAGGTGACCTACAGCCTTTCCAAGCTGAATATCTGCATAGTCGTTTGTACCAAAAGTGATTTATTTTTATTATATTTCTATCCACTGTAACCAAAATTAACATTCATTTATGTTGAAATTGTGTTGTTTGTGCAGATAGTAGCAGGATTGCGCTTCAGCGTGCATCAGCTCTCTGAACAGGACACAGAAGTCAAGTTTGGATTGCAGATTCAGAGGTATTTTAATGAATGCTTTCACAACAGTATATTATTACAGCACACTATTGGTTTGCATTTGGCGGGGGTAATAAAAAAAGGTTTTTCTGGACTGTCTTTAACCAAAGACGACCATTAGAACAAATTTAAGAAAAAAACGTTGCAGACATATATTCACTTCCTGTCTTTTTGTATTTTATTTAAATCAATAAAACTTCAGACAGTGTTCACTTCTATTCCTAATGTGTCCTGCTGACTGGAGGTGATTTATGTTTTTAAGTGTTAATTACAGGGAACTGCAGTTTTTCTCTGTGTGAAAACATCCTGCTTTGCTTTCAGTCTGTTGTATGTTCCTCACATCCATGTTTACTTTAAAGGGTTAGTTCACCCTACCAATTTAAATTCTGTTTTTAATTATTCATCTGTTTGTTCCAATCTTGCGAATCTTCGAAATACAAGTTAAAATATTTTAGATTAAATCTAAGAACGCTCTCATTCTCCATAGATAGCCATTGTTCATTGACATTCAAAGTCTAGTAAAATGAGCATCGTCAAAACATTCTATGTGACTTCAGTGGTTCAACTGTGATCATATAAAGCTCCAAGAACACTTTTTGGTGTGCTTTAAAAATACAAATGCGACTGTTATTATAATCTCTTCCACATCAGGTCAGGTTATGCGTTTACTACTGGCAATATGGCTTATTACCATTAGTCAAAAGCGCTACATGCAAGCTCCTAATTCAATTTCTCTTTATTTCTACAGCACTTTGACAATGTAGATTTTGTCAAAGCAGCCTAACATAAAAGTTCTAGTAAATTGAAACTGCGTCAGTCCAGAGTTGAAGTTCAGTTTAATTCAGTTCAGTGTGGGGCTGTGCGATATGGGCAAAAGAAATCTATCTCGATTTTATTAAACAATAGTGCGATTTTGAGTTTAATCATGATTTTGACACACAGAGCTTTTACAGTGTAAGTCTGAAATATATTTGCAAAGGAAAACAATTAGATCTTTATTAAAGACCTGTAACATGTCTCTAAAACAAACATAAAAAAAAAATACAAAATCACCTAGTAAAAGTGTAACAAATTGTCTCGAGAACAGACCTATGGCATGTTATTAAGCTCAGTCGCCTGTTCTCATGCTCTGTTTAGGCAAGCTGCGTTATGATTGGTTCCAATGGCAAACTGTGGGAAAATCGTGCTGGAAGGCCATAGATATATACACTAGATATCGCATAGGGCCCCTGAGCATGCGTCAATAGTGCCGCCACATTGGTACAGTGCTCCCAGGACAAATGTCATTCAACCACACAAGTCAAGACAGTGTTATGACGTTAAGATGCTGGACTTTAGCGCTGTCTACGGGTGTAGTAATGAGCAAACAAAAAAAACAAAGCACAAAGGCAGAAAATTTCATAGGTAAAATTAAGTTTTTTACATTTTGTATGTTATGAACTTTTGTGCTGAACAGGTAACGTTACTGATGATAATACAGTCTCTTACTGCATTCAGCATCAGGCAAAGTAGCACCAACTAGCACTAAACACTCGGCGTATGCTGGTTTTGTTGAATAAAATCAGCAAACAATGCAAAACAAATATGACAACGAGATGCTGCGGTGCCAGAAACTTGTATTATTGTCGGCTAGTAAACGAGTCGTTCATAACAGAGATTCATTTACAAACGAATCGCTCCCTCCGTCAGTATGAGAAGTGAAAGCAGGAGAGGAGATGTGTTTCAGGACACGGATTAGATCAAATTTAACAGGGAGGGAGGATAGTACATTTCCATACACACAAACACACACTTTTTGTCAGGAATGCCAGTGCGATCACTGATCCATCAATGTAGAGAAGTGATGTAAAATTATAAGTTTCGTATTTTCAAAAAATTATTGCATACTAACATCCAGGAAAACTCCCGATCATAGATATATCTGTATATGTCTGGCTTTGGATGGCCACAGTCCTCCACTGTACCTTGGTCCCGCATTCATTTCAAAGGAGCGCTACCCTGTTCCAAAATGGCGGCTCTATTGATGCATTCCTTCCAATAGACAACAACAGGGTATGCGACATCTAATGTATATATCTATGCTGGAAGGCGATTAAGAAATTGTGCATGTTCAAATCGCGATTCCAATTAATCTCACAACCCTAGTTCAGTGTAGTTGTAGCGCAGTGTTAAATTTCACTGCTGAAAGTCCAAACACCGACAAGAAAATCCATTGATGTGCAGCTATACTAGTCCCAAACCAAGCAAGCCAGTGGCAAGAAACAAACTTCACCAATTGAAAGTGAAACCAGAGAGAAACCAGGCTCAGATGGGCGTGATCATTTCTCCTCTGGCTGTGAACAAACTTCTTGTGCAGAGCTGCTTTCTAGACGCCGGAGGCTGGAGAATGCTGGACGTCCACTGTGGAGAAGCTGCAGGTCTGAGTAGGTCACCAGCAGGTGTTTAGGCTAGCCCACAAGATCAATGCAGACTAGTCCGTCTTACATTATTGAGTGTAGTAAACACACACCCTGATCTGATTAAGAAGACATTGCCATTGGACATAGAATACGGATGACAGAGTATTTTTTTTCTGGACATTGAGCATCTCGGAATCATTGCTGTCTATGGAGGATTAGAGAGCTCTCTGATTTCATCTCAATTATCTTAATTTGTGTTTTTAAATGAACAAAGTCTGAGGGAATTGAACAACATGGGTAATTTATAACAGAATAATCCTTTTTGGTTTAATGATTTACAAAACATTTCATAAACGTAAAGAGATAGTTGCACACGATGTGTGTTTTCCAAATAAAACTTCGGTCATAAATTACTGAAATGTCCACCAGTTGTTGATGCAACAACACCACCTTCTGTTCGCTTGTGTAATCGAATCATTTCCTTTTTCTTTCAGCACAAATCAGTTCAACAATACCAGCAATCTGGTGTCTGTTGTCACAAAGCTCGCTGTGCTGGCCAAAGTGGAATTAAGAGGGTATGGTTATTTTTATTATTATTATTAACAGATTTGCCTGTGGTTACTCTAGTTCCACACTAGTCTGGAGTGTTTCTAGTAAAATAAACTTTTTATGTCTTAAAATACACCAGTGGCTTTTGTTTGTATCAAGAAGGACACCAGTAATTACTCAAATGGATCACATGTCCTAATTAAACTTCGGCCTAATTCTGTATGTGAAACTAGGCCTAAGAAAACTAACTTTGTTTTTATTTTTTCGACTGACTTGCCCAAAACAAAAGATTTAGTGTAGATAAAGTGTTCGGAAATGTTCAAACAACTATAATAATTATGTTGGCACCTACTGATCATCACGCTAATATATTGTGCAACTGCACTGCAGGCATCTTGAGGTTGAATTCCGAAACATGGACCCCTCCTTCAACATTTTTATTATATTGTTTAACTATTAGTATTTATGAATTTTATTATTAGGTGTATTATTAGAAGTACATTGTGATTAGTTTTAGGTCCAATATTGTTTATAATTTGTATTAATAATATGTGTAAGATATCTGAGTTAAGTTTATTTTATTTGCGTATGATACAAGTATCTTTTGTTCTGAGGATAATTTAGCAAAACTTGTGGAGTCGATTAAAACAGAAATTAATAAATTGATATTGTGGTTTGACATAAATAAATTGTCATTAAATATAAGTAAAACAAAGGTTATGTTATTTGGGAAATTAAAAAGTAGTCAAAATATATAGATTTAAAACTTGATTGTAAAGTTATTGAAAGAGTGTATGCGATTAAGTTTCTTGGTGTTGTATTGGATCATAAAATTAGTTGGAAACCTCAAATAAATAATGTGATATTAAAATGTACAAAAACTGTAGCAATAGTTTATAAAGCAAGCTTTATCTTGGGTAAAAAATAAATGTATGTATTATAGAACACACTTATGTTGCCATATATGAGTTATTGTGTTGAAATTTGGGGGAATACATTTAAATCTAACTTACAATCCTTATGTACAATGCAGATAATATTAGAATGATAGAAAATGTGGGGTATATGGAGCATACAAACCCTTTCTTTTTTAAATTAAAGATACTCTAGTTCAATGATTTGGTTAAATTAAAAACAGCACAATTTATGTTTAAAGCTAGGAATAAAATACTTGCGAAAGGCATACAAAAGTTTTTGAAGAAAGACAAGGGGGATATAATCCAAGAGAACAAAATTTTAGGAGGTTGAAAACAGGGACAACTTTAAAAGATTTGTGTATGTCTATATGTGGTGTGAAATTATAAAACAGCCTGGAACAGATTATCAAACACTGTAAGAATAATAATCTATTTAAAAAGTTGTTTATATATAAATATATATATATATATATATATATATATATATATATATATATATATATATATATATATATATATATATATATATATTACTAAAGTAAATGAGAAGGGCATGATGAAATTTCAATTAATGGCTGTTTGCAATACTATATATTTTTTTGGGTTTATGTTATAAGACGTAAATTTACAAATGGTATGAAATGTCAAAAATGCCAAAAGGATAAAATATGTGTCATGTTAAAAGATGAGATAAGTAAAAGGAGAAATAAGTTGAAGTAGTAAACGAATGATGTGTGTGGTAATGGGGTGGGGAAAGTAATCAGCTTGTGCTTCATTTCACTCCATTTCGGCCATGTTGAAATGTATTTTGTTTAAAGAATTGTTTTGCGTATGATTTTTCTGTTCGAAATAAATAAGTTAAATCAAATAAAACATATTTATTGAGAACCATATCACTATATTAGAATGATTTAAGAAGAAGAATTTGACACAGAACTACTGCCCAAATATTATAACATATGTAGAGTTCATATGCAGAAACCTTTAAATGCCATCAGAGTTTTTTTTTCCTAAAATGAGCATTTTTCTCAGCCTCCTATGTTTATCTTTTGTTATTTCACTTTAACGTCAATGAAAAGAACTTTTGTCATTATAAAAGTGAAATTTCTGAGCCTACACACAAGATTAGGAGAAAAATGCTCATTTTGGAAGAAAATATCAAGCGGCGTTTAGAGGTTTTTGCATCTAAACTCTTCATATGTAATATTAATAAAAATCTTCTTATGAATTGAAGGTTTTCTGCACCAGAGCAGGTGTTTACCTCTTGCTAACTGGCAGCCGAAAGAGAATCCTGTTCTTCATCCTGCTCCATTTCGGCCATGTTGAAATGTATTTTGTTTTAAGAATTGTTTTGCGTATGATTTTTCTGTTGGAACTAAATAAATTAAATCAAACGCAACATATTTATTGAGAACCATATCACTATATTTGAATGATTTAAGAATAATTATTTGACACAAACTACTGCTTAAATATTATAACATATGTAGAGTTCAGATGCAAAAACCTTTCAATGCCATCTATATTTGTTTTCTAAAATGAGCATTTTCCCAGTTTCCTATGTTTTTATTCAGTTATTTCACTTTAAAGTCAATGGAAAGAACTTATTCGTCATTATAAAAGTAACAATTCTTAGCCTACACACAAGAGTCTGACAAAAATGCTAATTTTAGAAGAAAATATCAAGCGGCGTTTAGAGGTTTTTGCATCGAAACTCTTCATATATAATATTAATAAATATCTACTTTATGAATTAAAGGGTTTCTGCGCCAGAGCAGGTGTTTTTACCTATTGCTAACTGGCAGCCGAAAGAGAATCCTGTTCTGGAGGATGACATTGGCCCTCTTGTACAGCACATCTATGAGGTAGAAAAAAAGACATTTGACTTTCATCACTTTCATGCTGTTTGAAGTTTGCAATATTTGATCTTTTGTAAACTTTGATCTTCCCAGCTAAGAAACAAAGGACCCAGTACATTCAGCAAGGCCATTTTGGATGTGCAGTGGCCCTACAGATTCAACAACGGCTCTCTGCTTTACATCACCAAGTTTTCAGTGGACGGAAACATGAACTGCAGCTCAAACAGGGAGCTCAACCCTCTGAATGTCACAGTATGTGTCTAACAAAACTAATCTTTTTATATTTAAGACTGTTGATAAAGGATAGTCATAATTGACTCATCCTCAGCTTGTTTCAAACCTACAGTAGGTTTCTTTCTTCTAATGAACACAAAGGAAGATATACTGAAGAATGCTGGAAAAAAACAGCCATTGACTTCCATCTAGTAATAGTGGTTCCACTTGTAATTTTTGTTCCTACTATGGATGTCAACGTCTGCTTTTCTTTCTTCGGTATATCTTGTTTTGTGTTCAACAGAAAAAAATAAGCATATTAAAGCTCATAAAGGCTTAGCTTGAGGAAATAGTGAGGACATTTTCATTGTTTGGGTGAACAGGACCTAAAATTTCACTCCACAAACCTGTATATTAAACATCACATACTTTGTATTCTGATTGACAATGATATTCTGTCAAAGCACACATACATATTACTTGTTTATTAGAACACATTAATGATGTCCTCTAAAAAAAAAACATTTTGAAAAATAAAAATAATCTGTGTTTGCTTGGTCAAAAATGGTTTATAGGATGTCAATAGTTGATTACTTTTGTTTTGTTTTTTTGCTTCACCTAGAGTCCCAGATTTCTTGACCAGAATGACACCTCTGCAAGTGGAGCAGAGGGAAGAAACAGACACAATGTTCATCGCAGAGACCTGGAGGAAAAACATGGGGAAGAAAACCTGGAGATTCTGGTATAGTCACACTTTTTTTTTTTTTATATACCACAGATTGTGATGTATTTGTTTGTTTGTTTGCTTTATTCATAGAGCACATTTAAAAACAACAGATGTTGACCAAAGTGCTTTACAAAAAGACCAGCATACAAAATCTATACCTATATATAAAAATAAGCTAAATAAATAAAACAGATTAAAATTAATTAATTGCAATCGAAATGCAAGAGACAGAAGGTGATTTTTTTTAGATGAGACTTAAAAGCACCAAGTGAAGAACATGACCTGATATGTAAAGGCAGACTATTCCACAGTCAGGGGGCTGCAGCAGAAAAAGCCCTGTCACCTTTTGATTTCAACCGTGTTTTGGGGACAACTAGCTGAAACTTGTTTTCCGACCTGATTGGCCTCAACGAAGTGTGCCAGTGAAGAAGCTCAGAGATGTAAATAGATGCCAGACCATTCAAACTTTTTTAAAACAAGTAGCAATATCTTATATTGAATCCTAAGTTGTACTAAATATTTGCAGGAGTTTTATTCAGAATTCAGATGTAAGTGGTGTTCATAAAGATGAGTTTTTTAATGATGCAAACAGTAATATTATGTTTTTTAGCATGATTTACAGCAGATGTCCGCTAAAATCCACTTAAATTTGGTATTACAGTAGTTTGTATACCAAAAAAACATTTTCATGTGTTTAGAACATGTAGAATAATTTGATGTTCGAAAAGACTCAAATTTAAGACTTATTTAATTGCATATTAAAAGTTTTAAGGATCTCATTGCAACCTCAAAAACGTTAATTAATTGTCATTTTTAATTAATTGTCACGTTAAATAATTGTCATTTTTAGACTTTTAAAACTTTTGCCACTATCTTCAAACCACAAAGTTTCAAACATTTGTCAGCAAAACATTTTTATTATCTTAAATTTTTTTATTTGACTATTTTATTGACTTTTATTTTTACAAAAGTTATTTGAAAGATTAAAGCAGATGCTTTAATGTGCTTTCTGTATGTTTAAACATAACCTTTGCAAACTTAAAATGCAGACACCAAAATGGGACATCTCATCTACAACCCATATTTACTTGATAATACACAATATGTTTGATAATACACATGTAATATCATACTACATTTAGAAACCTGGAGTTATTTATTTACTTATTAAGAAAGATATTGTGTTTAACTAAAGCACAATAAATTGATTGGTAACGTTAGATATTTTACATTATTTGCCATTTCAAATAGCATGCTGTTCTTTTGAAGTACTTTGTTGATCAAAATAAATCCTGAAAATATGATCACTCTTTCAGACAACTTGTTGAATTTGATTTGTTGGAAACAAAGTTTAACAAGGAATGTTCTTGAGCACCAAATCATGTTAGATTGATTTCTGAAAGATCACATGATGATACAATTATACATGCTGAAAATTCAACTTTGCATCTAAAAATTAAATGCAATCCTAAATGTATCAAAAAAGAAATATATTTTATTGTAATTCATTTATTCATTTTTTTGTCGGCTTAGTCCCTTTATTAATCCGGGGTCGCCACAGCGGAATGAACTGCCAACTTATCCAGCAAGTTTTTACGAAGTGGATGCCCTTCCAGCAGCAACCCATCTCTGGGAAATATCCACACACACATTCACACACACACTCGTACACTACGGACAATTTAGCCTACCCATTTCACCTGTACCACATGTCTTTGGACGGTGGGGAAAAACTGAGCACCCGGAGGAAACCTACGTGAAGCCAGGGAGAACATGCAAACTCCACACAGAAACACCAATTGAGCCGAGGTTTGAACCAGCGAGCTTCTTGCTGTGAGGCGACAGCACTGCCTACTGCGCCACTGCCTCGCCCTATTTAATTGGAATATTGTTTCATATTTATTTATCCATTCATTTATTTATTTGTTTATTTTCCTTTTGTTTTTAAATGTAGCCTGAGTTACCAAAACCTAACACTTAAATTGTAGTGTATATACCAGGTTTTTGGCGACTACAATTTAATTTTTTTAAGATACCCATCACATTAGTAGGTTTTTTCCGATATACTCAAGGTGCGAATTACAGGGGGGTTTGGGGGGAATGACTCCTAATTAACACTTGATCCCCCCTGAAGGATGTCAAAACAAGATGGATGGGGGTCAGCCCTTTAAGTGAGAAATAGCTTTCTCTGATCTGTACCTTAAATATTCATTCATTCATTTATTCATTTTCCTTCGGCTTAGTCTCTTTATTCATCAGGTGTCGCCACAGCGGAATAAACAGCCAACTTATCCAGGATATATTTTACACAGTAGATGCTCTTCTAGCTGCAACCCAGTACTGGGAAATATCCATACACTATGGCCAATTTAGTTTATTCAGTTCACCTTTAGCACATGCCTTTGGACTGTGGTGGAAACCGGAGCACCCAGAGAAAACCCAGGTTAACACGTGGAGAACATGCAAACTCCACACAGAAATGCCAACTGGCCCAGCCGGGACACGAACCAGCAACGTTCTTGCTGTGAGGCAACAGTGCTAACCACTGAGCCACCTTCTCGCCTCATCTTAAATATGAATAATTTCTAGATAGATAATATAAAGATACATTTGACCACCTCTATAACGATTCATATAATTGTAAATGCATATTCGTTCATCAATCTGAAACTGGCAGATCTAGAGCACCGATAGACAACGCAAGTGTTTACAAGACGCTTCTCTTGTAAGATCAGAGTTTGTTTCTACATATAGCTTAAAAGTAAACTCAATTTAGCTGCATTTCTTGTATAGTTTGACCTACAGTAACCTCTAAAAGGGCTCATCAGAGGACACTGTAGGTTAGAATACACTGAATATCCATCAAAGCACTGAAAACTTGAATGTTTTATTCAAATAAATAAATATGATTTAAATAAACACTGAAGCATGTATTAGACCACAGGTGTCAAACTCGGTTCTAAAAGGGCCGCAGATCTGCACAGTTTAGTTCCAACCCTAATTAAACACACCTGATCAAACTAATTGAGTCCTTCAGACTTGTTTGAAACCTACAGGTAGGTGTGTTGGAGCAGGGTTGGAACTAAACTGTGCAGGGCTTCGGCCCACCAGGAATTGAGTTTGACACCCCTGTATTAGACAGACTAACATAACTTTAAAAAAATATACGCCCTGGATTGTCACTGTATAATTCGCATCCTGAATACATCATTATCCATGCATGAAAGTTGTATAAACTGTTTGTTTATACCTGCACAGGATTGTGGGAATGCAGAGTGTCAGGAGATCAAGTGTTTCGTTGGCCGTCTGGAGAAAGGCCAGAGTGCAATTCTATTTATTTATTCTAGACTGGCCGTGAACACCTTTCTCAAGGTAAAAAACTAAACATAAATTAACTGAAATGTTCATTTTCCTTGCCAATTGTGAAGCTCAAAACATCCTTTCCTCACTGCACTATTGACAGTTTGTTAATAAACACCAATGATTTCCTTTCCTTTTAGGCTGAAAGTCAAAACAAGTCATACATTGTTCGATCCTCGGCTTCCTTTAGTGTGATAGAGATGCCGTATAAAAACCTGAATCCTGAGCTCCCAACCAGCACTCAGTCGGTAAGATCTTATTGTGAAACACTCATGAAATTATTATTAGTTTTTTAGTTTTTTTTCCCAACACCAGCAGTTGCCTCAATCTTAAAAGGAAAATAAAATTAAATAATTTACTCACTTTTTTCTCCTGTTAAACACACAAGGAGATATTTGGAAGAATGTTGGGAAACCTGTAACCATTGACTTGAATAGTAATTGTTTCTTATTGTGAAACACTCATGAAATTATTATTAGTTTTTTTTCCCCAACACCAACAGTTGCCACAATCTTAAAAGGAAAATAAAATTAAATAATATACTCACTTTTTTCTCCTGTTAAACACACAAGGAGATATTTGGAAGAACGTTGGGAAACCTGTAACCATTGACTTGAATAGTATTTGTTTTTCCTACTATGGATGTCAATGGTTACTGGTTTAAAACATTTTTTTTTTAATATTGTCTTCTGTGTTTAATAGAAAACATGAATATATAAAACTGTGGAACCACTTATGGGCAAGTAAATAAACTGTATATTTTGATTTTCGGGTCAACTATCTCTTTAACTAATACCTTCAAATCAACGTGCCAAACACTGGATGGTTGACATTCAGCTTTCAAATGTACAGCAGATACAAAGAAAGTAATTAAGCACATAAATAAATAAAACTATTTTATCCTAGAATAAAAGGAGAATAAAGTCCTCTATCAAACCAAAACTACAGTTAAAGTGTATGATGGAGAAAAGGACTTCATATTTGCATTTATTTTTTTTGTATTAGATGTGTAGTGTTTGTTGATATGATTGGTCATCAGTATCTTTCTCCTGTAGGCGTCCCTGAAGGTGATCTGGAATTCGGAGAACCCTCAGCCTGTCCCGGGATGGGTTGTGGCTCTGGCTGTTCTGGCTGGACTGCTGCTTCTGGCTCTGCTCATCTTTGTCATGTATAAGGTAAACAACTGTAGACTTGAGTTAAATCACACAACCGTCTCTGTGGGTATGACATCTGAATATGAATGAATGAAATATTGACATTACAGTCGAAATTATGTGAATGTATTTTTATGAAAAATTATTTCAGTTGGATAAATCGATGTTTAAAAATATTAAATAATGAACATACAAATTGATGGATGCATAGATATAGTTGGATCATAAAGGGATGAATGGTGGATGGATATAGATATATGATGGATGGATATTGATGTTTTTGTTTTGATAAAGATAGATAAAGCATTGGTAGAAGAGGACTGTTGTATTAATGGATGAAAAGATGAAGATGGATTAATGGATCTGTATATAGAGAGAGGATAGGTGGATGGATGGATATAGATTAAAGATGGATGGGTGGACATAAAAATGATGGATGGATGGATGGATGGATGGATATAGATAGAGAATGGATGTATAGAAGGGATGGATGGATATAGAGAGATAAAGGATGGATAAAAGATGACAGTTGTATTAATGGATGAATTGATGATATAGAGGATGGATGGATGGATATAGAAAGATGATGGATGGATGGATGGATGGATGGATGGATGGATGGATGGATGGATAAATGAGTATAATGTAGATATATTATGGATGGATAAAAGAGGACAGATGTATTAATGGATTTACTAAAAGATGAAGATGGATTAATGGATCTGTATGTATAGAGAGGATAGGTGGATGGATGGATGTAGATTGAAGACGAATGGGTGGATAATAGAAATGATGGACGGATATAGATAATGGATGTGTATGTATAAAAGGGATGGATGGATATTGACAGATAAAGGATGGATAGAAGAGGACAGTTGTACTAATGGATGAAAAGATGAAGGTGGATGAATGGATCTGTATTGAGAGGATAGATGGATGGATGAATATAGATTGAGGATGGATGGGTGGATATAGAAATGATGGATGGATATAGATAAAGGATGGATGTGTATGTATAGAAGGGATGGGTGGATATAGATAGATAAAGGATGGATAGAAGAGGACAGTTGTATTAATAGATGAAAAGATGAAGATGGATGGATGATATAGATGGAGGATAGATGGGTGGGTATAGAAAAAGGATGGATGGATATTGATTAAGGAGGGATGTATGGATGTGTATACATAGAGAGGATAGATGGATATAGAAAGGTGATAGATGGGTATACTGTAGATAGATAAAGGATGGATAAAAGAGGACAGCTGTATTAATGGATGTAAAGACTAGGATGGATGGATGGATGGATGGATGGATGGAAGGGTATACTGTAGATAGATAAAGTATGGATAGAAGATTACAGTTGTAATAATGTATGAAAATGTGAAGTTGGATGGATGGATGGATGGATATAGAAAGAGGATGGATGAGTGGATATAGATAGATAAAGGATGGAGAGAAGAGTACAGTTGTATTAATGGATGAGAGGATGAGGATGGATGGATGGATGGATATAGATTGATCATAGATGAGTGGATATAGAAATGATGGATAGATATAGATAAAGGATGGATGTGTATGTATAGAAGGGATGGATGGATATAGACAGATAAAGGATGGATATAAGAGGACAGTTTTATTAATGGATGAAAGTATGAAGATGGATGGATGATATAGATAAGAGTATGGATTGGTGGGTATAGAAAAAGGATGGATGGATATAGATAAAGGATGGATATATGGATGTGTATACATAGAAAGGATAGATGGATATAGAAAGATGATGGATGATAGATGGGTATAATGTAGATAGATAAAGGATGGATAAAAGAGCACAGCTGTATTAATGGATGAAAATATTAGGATTGATGGATGGATGGATGATAGAGGATGGATGGATATAGAAAGATGATGGATGGATGGGTATACTGTAGATGGATAAAGGATGGATAAAAGAGGACAGTTGTATTAATGGACTAAAAGATTAGGATGAATGGATATATGGGTGGAGCAGTGGCGCAGTAGGTAGTGCGGTCGCCTCACAGCAAGAAGGTTGCTGGTTTGATCCTTGGCTCAGTTGACGTTTCTGTGTGGAGTTTGCATGTTCTCCCTGCGTTCGCATGGGTTTCCTCCGGGTGCTCCGGTTTCCCCCACAGTTCAAAGACATGTGTTACAGGTGAATTGGGTAAGCTAAATTGTCCGATGAGTGTGTGTGTGAATGTGTGTGTGGATATTTCCCAGAGATGGGTTGCGGCTGGAAGGGCATCCGCTCTGTAAAAAAAAAAAAAAAAAAACTTGCTGGATAAGTTGGCGGTTAATTAATTGATTAATAAAGGGATTAAGCCGACAAGGAAAATGAATGAATGAATGAATATATATATATATATATATATATATATATATATATATATATATATATATATAGTTGAAATCTCCAATTGTCTCACATTCAGGTGTATATATGAATGAGTTTCAGTGTGTGTTTAACGCTGGTGTGTGTCGTCCTCAGCTGGGCTTCTTCAATCGCGTTCGGCCTCCACAGGAGGACCGCACAGAGAAAGAGCAGCTTCAGCCGCAGGAGAACGGAGACCGAAACACTGAAGCCTGAGCTCTGCATCTTCACCAGTGCCAACACACCAATGCCACATCCACTGTCGTGTCCTGACTGTAGTGCCCTGACACACTCACTCTGATGTCCTGATGACACACACTACTGCTGCTGTGGACGTTTCTAGTGGATTGAATTAAGACTGTGCCAATTCTTTCCCATCATGCTCCTTTCCTTCTTTAACTGCACTGAGTCTTAAAAGCGGATTTCGTTTTCAGTTGGGCGTAGAGATTAACATCTTTAAAAGTGTTACACGTTGAAATTGTTTACTTTAATTAAGGTAAAATAATCATTAAAACAGTACTTTTTAAGCTCTTTTTATTTTGAGGAAAGAGGTGAGTTTTGTACATTTTTAGATGCTGGTTCTGCTTCAGTTTGGGGTTTTTTCTGTTGGATTTTTCCATCTCTTTTCCTTTGCAGATTTTTTCAGCTCCTGAATTTGGACTCTGATTTATTATTTGGGCGTAAGGTGTATAATTTTTGAGAAAATGTTCTTCTGTTTGTCTACTGTACACATTATTTTAGAGCAGGGTTATGTATGTGCTTATTAATAAGTATAAGTAAAAAAGAGAAAGTAATCAACATTTTTGCACAACAGAGCAATAAAAAAAGCAGCAATTATGTACTTTACAAACTTACCACCAACAAAGATTCACTATGAGTTTAAATTCACTGTCAGTTTGAAGATTCTTCTCAGTCAAAACTGAAGAGAAGGTATTTTTATAGACGAAAGCTACTTTTTATTATTTTTTTCTCAGTATCTCCAACACAG